TCTAGCCAGACTACACGACGCAAGTACAAACATGAAGAAACCTGTTACGCCAAGAGAGTGACTCACAAAGGCAAACGACCCACACAGTCACACTACGATCATGAACCAGGCAGACACACGCAAGATGACTCATCGAGGGTTGGCCGCCCATCATAACCAAGACGCCACACCACTACACAACAGCTAACAGACTCAACCAAACCTCTGCCGCAAATTTCCCCCATCTGTACATGAACGAGAATCAAGACGCGGCTCACAGTCTGAAGAAGAAAAAACCAAGACGTATCGACTTTCAGTAGTGTCAATGAACTCACGATATACTAAATTAAAGTATATCCTTTTACTGAAGAAGTGAGCTCCCCTGTGTACCTCCCCGCTACAATTTAATAAAACTTCAGTAAGCATTAAATAAATTCAAAATAAATAGACAAGTACACTCAGTCGTTGGTGTAACTATAGACCATGAAATATATTCCTATTAACACAGCAAAGACAAAAGAGTAAAAGATTTAGTAACAAAAATATATTTCGACTGCAGAAAAGCCCTTGCTAACGTCACGGGGCCTCGTAAACAGCTCAGACAACGGGCCATTCCCTCTAGGCCTATTCGGTTTGTAGGCAGTTCACCAGTAAGCACGTGACTTCTCATACTCCCCTACTCACAACACTAGTCAGGGGGGACTTAAAGTCTTTCCGCGAACTGGGGGAGTAACACAGACGTTGGTGCCGCCTTGTCTCCTCCCCACGATCAATAGTACACGCCAAAAATCGAATGACTGGAGACGCAGATGTTATTTATAATATTCCCAGAATCTGTTGGTCGTTACACTGACTCCTCCTCTTCCCAGGAAACAGAACAAGAGATGAAACATTGATTTAAAATGTCTTCAGTTTCGCGATCGACTTGTAAAACTACACATAAAGAAGTGTTGTTATTCGAGAGCTGTTTTTGGTACCACTGGTATAACAATGACAAATATCGATAGTCAATTCTGTACCTATAACAACATCCAATAAATACCGTACATGAGTGTAGACTACCACCTCGTCAACCATAACTGAAATATTACCAGCCACTAACTCTTGAATCACACTGTACTAGTTGGGTACTAACAATAAACGTAAACAAAGAGTACCAGACGTAACCGTACAACTAACAACAAGACAATTTTAGAGAATTACAATCTACAGTACAACAGTGTTTACAAAATGGAAGAGGGGCTAACTAACTAACTAACAACTTCCCTCTACAGTAAAGGTTCTCTATAAAATAATCAGTAAGTATAATAAACACAAAATACGTGATCTAAACATACAAGTCCAATTAAAAGCTAAATCCTAAAAATCCAAGTTTACATCAAATGAAAAAAAAAGGTAAAGAAAATACCAGTGAAAACTCATAAAACACACACACACAGATAAATGATACGATCTTCCATTGGGTAATAAAAAAAAACCCTGTTCATTTACACTCCATTATTTTGCAACACGATTAAAAAAACCTAAAGTTAAAGTGCCACTCTTTAAATACTGACCTGAAACAAAATTTTTAAACCATGGCCGTTGTATGTTCTAAATCCGAGTCAGTGCAATACATTACTACTGTATATATGGGTCTATTGGCTACACATAAACGAGTGGGCAATAAAGACAAATACACTATCAGGGGAAAAAGCTACATAAGGAAATCTCGCCTTTAGTAACAAAATTTTTACCCTTTCCTTGCATTACCCGCCATGGCAACCAACAGTAACTCTGAATGAATGACTTACCGTGTTTAACAAGATAATTAATCATTGTCTCCAAAATATCTTACCATCAGTCTACAAAATACTCCTCAAAAACGCTCCTTTAAGATATATTTAAACAAAAAGTTGTGTGCATAAAACAAAGATAATCCTCGTCTGGGTTAACATGAACACTCACAAATATACCCATTCTAGAGTAGCCATTAGCCTTAAAATTTATATCCCACGTCAAAGTACCCATAATATACATGTTAGGGGTCTAGAGGTACTGCACTGTATACACTATAAATGCTTGTTTCTTGTTAGATGGCAATGGCTCTGAAGAATAACAATAAATGACATACAGTACAGTACAATTAAGTCTTTTAAAGTTGCTTACCTTTTAATTTACCACATTTGTATTCTCCAGTGTCACCATAAAGGAGATACAGTACTGCCAAACTAAAGTACATTATGGTTTAGCTGTTGGTAATGCTGCACTGTACCCTCAACAAAACTAGTGGTCCAGTAGTAACACAACTTGACCACAAAGCACAGTACCTTGGGATATATTTAGTGCCAATACAACACCTTACTTACATCATGAATAAACACACTAAAACAACCTTGAGTAGCCACAGTATCAATCAGTGGTCATTGTCTGTCTGATGAGTCATCCTTCTCAACCACTCGGGTGTAAAAACTACCGGACTATCAAGAGCCTACACTTGAGTACACCTTACATAGGAAATAATGAACACATATTTCAACATAATGAAACTGGACTTTTCCCACAAGGTGATGTTTAAAATTAGAGTACAGTATATACCAATTTATTTCCTGAAACGTCTTTGTGACTTATGAGTTCACTTGTTTTAATTTTATAGAATGAACAAACAAATTTAGGGCTAGAAATGAAAATACAAAATATAATACCCACATGAACCGTACTGTGTTATAGTAGGGACTAAATCATTCACAACAACACGAGATAAACCAACAAAACTTCTCTAAACTTAATCACAAAAGCATAAGACTGTAATATTTTACCTTACGTACAAATACAAATATTCCTCAACCTCTCAAATAAATAACATGTAGATAAGAACAGTCCCAACTACGTTACATATGAAGGATGATCAGAAAAACCTGCTTTAATCACTGTAAAACTGTAGCTCCATTATTTCCAACTTGAGGAGTTAGAGAGATGTGTTAAAGGGTAGTGGTAGGAGGGGAGGGAGGAGGGTGGGAGTGGAGGAGTGGTGAGGTGTGGAGGAGGGTGAGGGTGTGGGAGGAGGGTGGGGGAGGGAGTGAGTGGTGAGGGTGGAATGAGTGGTGGGGTGTGGGAGTGAGTGGTGGGGTGTGGAGGAGGGTGAGGAATGGTGAGGGGTGGGTGAGGGGTGTGAGGTGGTGAGGGGGTGGGAGTGAGTGGTGGTGTATAGTAGTGAGTGGTTGTGGTGTGGAATGAGTGGTGGTGGTGTGGTGGAATGAGTGGTGGTGGTGTGGTGGAATGAGGGTGGTGGTGTGGTGGAATGAGTGGTGGTGTTGTGTGTGGAATGAGTGGTGGTGGTGGAATGAGTGGTGGTGGTGAATGAGTGGTGGTGGTGGTGGGAATGAGTGGTGGTGGTGGTGGAAGGAGGGTGGTGGTGGTGGTTTGAGTGGAAGTAGGAATGGAGGGTGGTGTGGTGGAATGAGGGTGGTGTGGTGGAATGAGTGGTGGTGGTGGTGTGGTGGAATGAGTGGTGGTGGTGGTGTGGGTGGAATGAGTGGTGGTGGTGGTGTGGTGGAATGAGTGGTGATGGAATGGTGGTGTGGTGGTGTGGAATGAGAGTGGTATGGGGGAATGGGTGGTGGTGTGGAATGGGTGGTGGTGTGGAATGGTGGTGGTGGGTGGAATGAGCCGTGGTGGCGGTGCGGAATGAGTGGTGGTGTGGTGGTGTGGAATGAGTGGTGGTGTGGGAATGGGCGGTGGTGGTGTGGAATGGGCGGTGGTGGTGTGGCATGAGTAGTGGTGGTGGCATGTTAGTGGTGGTGGAGTGAGCGGGTGGTGGTGTGGTGGAAATGAGCGTTAATGAGTGTTGGTGGTGTGGAATGAATGGTGGTGGTGTGGTGGAATGAGTGTTAATAAGGTTATGGTGGTGTGGAATGAGGGTGGTGGTAGGTGTGGAATAAGTGGTGGTGTGGAATGGGCGGTGGTGGTGTGGAATGGGCGGTGGTGGTGTGGCATGAGTAGTGGTGGTGTGGAGTGAGCGGTCTTGGTGTGGAGTGGTGGTGGTGTGTAGTAGTTGAGTAGTGTGGTGTGGAATGGGTGGTGGTGTGGAGTGGTAGAGACGTGGAGTGAGTGGTAGGGACGTGGAGTGAGGGACGTGAGTGAGGGGTGTGGAGTGAATGGTGAGGAGTGAATGGTGGGGTATGGTAGTGGATTTTAAATTTTACCATCTCGCCCACAACACCGCATCATGAAAAACATTACCAATTGTTACAATATAACACTAAATTACTCTATATAAACCAAATAACATATAAAAGATCACTAAATTATACTCTCTAATATAATAACATATATTATACACCATTTAAATATATCTTAAATAAATGCCAATACACGTATACGATATGGTCATTTAAAAACCTATATTTAAATATCTTTTTGTCTTGGATGGTGAGGAAGACTTGCCATATTACACCACAATATTAAGCCTCTAGAAAATGTTTATAGCTTAATAGGGTAGGATAGAGGGTATGGTGGACCTACCTTATCGCTGGGTATGTTCCTGGAGCCCATTGTTCCTGCTGAGAGGTGTAGAAAATGCCCTAAATCCAGGTGGGGGCTTCTCACTTGTCACCTCACATACACCACTGATCACTATTTACATCACCACGCTCTGCGGCACTCTGGCTCACTACAGATGCTTCAAACAACACGTAGGGGTAATAAAACCGCTCCATATAATGTAAATCAGAGCCAATAAGAGCCATGAACCTTAATAGCTGTGGGGAGCTGGACACATCCTCCTGCCAACACTAACAAAGCTACACAGACTCAAGATGGCCGTCTGACCTGCGCACAGAACCCTGGCATCTGTTTCCTCAACACCACCACTCCCTGGAACCACATTACCTTCATTCATTTTATTTTTTTAATATATATCTCTCAGTTGTTATCTGTTATTAAATTTACTGTTTTTTTCTTCATATTGGTTACTATTAAAGCATGTTTATAGTGAGAAAAACTGAATAATAAAAAGGCTTTATGGCAGCGAGACATATGGTGATCTGGTGCTTTTGTTTATTGTTTTTGTTTAGAAAATATAACCTGGTTTTTTTAGTACATTTTGTAGTAAGATAATTAATGGATGCTATACAAAATAAGAGACTTTATAAGGCTAATATTTAAGAGCACGAAGGGCGTAACACATTGCAATTACAGCAGTTCAATTTGTCATAGATATCTTTATGGTGTACCCTAATATATAAATAATGTACATATATTAGTTTTCCACACTGATATTGTCTTTATTTAATATTAACTTGATATGGAGATTAAAATCTACGACAAACTACATACTTGAAGCTTGAACTAAAAGATAGTTTCTGGCATGAAGTTGTCTAAAGAGATACTGGAAGGAGAGGTTTGTTTATCTTGGGAAGCCATCCTCCATCCACCTCCCTTCTTGACGTCTTCGGACATTCATCACTATCTGAACTGTAAATAAAATGTAAGAGTGTATTTTTAAATTTCTATAGAATTCAAAGTATTTTATATCGTGGATTTGTTTACCATATGTTACGTGTTGCCTAAAATGAGGGGAAATTAAGTGGGGCGAGACTGACTCGGTTACACCCACCACATACGCCCTGTAATAACTTGTAATTTAAAGGTCCCAGTTATATGAAATAAGTCTATGGCAATCAAAACTGACCATAGAGTATGAAATTTTATATTTACTAGTGTCAAGGGGTAGTTTTGGTTCATGACCTTAGTAATGGTTTGCTTTCGGATTTTTTTACATATTTCTTTTAAGACTAGAATGTAAATATGTAGGGCAAAAAGGAAAGTTACTTAAAATGCTAATGGAATTGCAAATAGGTGGTGGCTTCTTTGGCAAGTTGACAAAGCTTATAACTAAATGTGATTTTACTTTACTTTTAGCAGAAATGAACAGCTGATTGATGGTTAAGTTTGGTAGTATGCAGTGATATATTCCCCTTAAAATCAAATAATGTTCAGTAACTATAATTTTTTTACACAGCCAGTTCAGCCATTGCTTACTATCACAGGTACTTACAGACTATATGTAGGCAGTAATGGAGGAGGTGAAATAATGGTATTTTATGGTCTCGTAAATCTTACCGGTAATTATTTTTTTACCCAAGAATTATACATATATAAACAAATTGAATGAATGATGCACTGTACAATCAAACCATCGATTTTCTGAACTCTGATGGATTGAACTTAGGTTAATCCGTACTAGCCAGCTGGCCTGGTGATTGCATGGCATCAGCTGCTGCTAATCTGCCATTCATTGATTGGCATATCTAAACAAAGAGTATCCGGTATTAAGAAACAGAAAGACGAAATAAAGAATGAGTTTAACAGGTGAAGGGTACTTGGTACTCAACGGTCAGAAGTTTACATTATATATGCTGTATATTATTCTCTCTTCTATTACGATTGATAATTTATAAGGATAAAGTTAAGTAATATTATGAACTGAATAGATTATCAGGCTTCAATTAAATGTGTAATGCTTATTTTGGATAATTCAGACCCCCCTATTGATGCAGGTGGCCAAGGGTTCACTGTGTTTTATTTCTGCTCGAGGAAGCCAACTCTTGTGGTATATGAAGTATTTTGGTGACATATTTCCTCTTGTTTTATAAAGGATGTTTTAGTAAAGGTTCAGGTGGCTGATGATACATTCTCTCTCATCCAGTTTGTGAAGAGTGACATTACCGGTAAACATTATTCATTATTATATTTTTTCAGAATGTGATTCAGCTGTTAAGAGTACAAGGGGACTAAAAACCAGAAATCATGAATTCGTTCAAAAGTTTTATGAACAAGGTATGTACAGTATTGTTAAATCAAAGCTTAATTTGCTCAGCATGTTCAAAAGACAACTCTACACATTCACAGCCCATGGCATAACAGTAATTGATGAACTGTTATTCTTATAGATTATTTTTCAATGTTAATATTAAGGCATTATTCTCCACATTATTCTCCCAAGACTCTAAACTATACCTGAGTGACCATATACCTTCAAAGATAAAACACACACACACAGTCACCTCGTATGTTTTGTCATGTCGGGAAAGTGTATTATGTTAACTCTTGTCTGTCTTAATGACTTGATATTAGTAGCAGTTAAAGCCTTGCAAAATATCTTGTGTACTGTTTAAACATCCTTTCATTACATTCTCTGGATGTTTGGCATGTGAAGGAATGGATACGGTATTGTCACACAAGCCTCATCCACTCTCTCTCTCTCTTCCTCATGTACTCGTATATCTCTACGACATTTCCAACACTCAAAGCAGGTAAGAGACACATGACTCTCCATAGCATACTTATTATATATTACTACATTATTTTAAAATTTTTACCAGACAGTATTTGAAATTAATGATGAAAGCTGCACTTCTCTTTTGGGTCTTGCTTTTTTTTATGGAATATGCCTGAGATTCTTATGAAAAGTCATACCAGTAATGAAGCTTATACCTTGACTATGAATTGATTATGTATGTTATCACTGTTTGCTTGTAACTTGCACCAAATGCATCGATATGGTAGAAGGCTGGCAAATACAAATCCATTAAGTATGAAGTGGGTGTTTGATTACCATCTTATTACTGCATCTGTGAATGAAACCAAATGTCAGTCACTTAAAAATGAACTGATTGTTATATTAATAAATTAAGAAAATACTAGAATAGAAGAAGAGGTCCATTGAACACCATTAATTGATTTAGAAAATTCATATGATTTGGTAATTAATTTTACCTATACAGTACAGTATTTCAGTTATCTTTGGTACATTAGCACACCCATTAAAATTTCTCTTCATTGGAAAATTCATTGTATGTGCAGAGTTTTATTAATATTTAGTGCATTGATGGCTTATCCCTGTAGTATTAGAAATTATTTGTAAACGTTTCCTTGAAAAATGCAGGTCGGTGAACGGGTGCGTGAAGTGGGACCCCAGACACCAGGGCACACGGCTGGCAATGGTGACAGGCTAGATGGAGATCTAGGGGAGGCAGTTGAAGGCTTCTTGTGTCCAACATGCTACATGAGGTTCTCAACACCAGAACTACTAAAAGATCATTATGATGCAGATCACATAGAACCTGCAGCTAACTATTTATGTCCAGTTTGCAAGGCTAGACTTAACTCTCAACAGGAGCTAGAAAAGCATTATAGTACTGTTCATGGCATGAAAGGTACATTAATTTACAGTCTGTTGTAGTTTATGTAAATATCAAGTAAAAAATACATCTTGTACAATAGTCATTTATGCTCAAGGCAAGTTGGTTGTGTTAAAATCTTCTGTATTCATAGCTAGCATTGAGTTAGTTACCAAACAGTGTTCTCATTATTACCGTATTTAACGTTTTCCAGATACAAGTGGACACAGTCTTGAAGCTTTGCGTGAAGAGTTGACCGAACTGTCTACTAACTTACGTGAAGAACGATGGTACTCGGAGGAGTTAAAGAAAGAAGTGGAGAGGTTACAAAATGCATTCAAGAAAAAGGATGGAGGGGAAGAAAATTTTGTGCATAAGGTAGATTTATAGAGTCACTGGGTCAATGGATGAGCTTTCTTTTCTGCATTATGCAGACTTTTATATACTGTAATATTACCACTACTGTATTTGAGATGGTTGATCATATTCTTATATTAAATTAAAATCTGTTTGATCGTTCTTTATATGTTTAATTTTTTTTTAGTCTCAACTAGATGCTGCTGAGGAAACAAAAACTTTGCTGACTTCAGAAGTTGTATTATTACGAAAACAACTAACAGAATCTATAGAACTGAACAGCAGCCTACGCTCAGAGAAAGATATGCTGGAGTCTCGTGCCTCAGAGTTTGCTGTAGAACGTGCTGAGCTGCGGGCCACACTAGATACCCTTCAGGCTGAGAAAGTGAGTTTTAATCGAACATACAACACCCATAAAGATTTTTAAAGTTATAATCACTCTTCAACTTATTAATTCTTTCACCTGAGAACCAGAAACACCAAATTAGTTTCTTTCACAGATATTACTACACCTTAACAGTTGTAGAGGGAGAACCATCTATCCATGCTCTGGTCATCTCTTGCTATTCAGGAGTGTGTGTGTCTTGCAGTGTTATTAAGTATCCTTATTCCTACACAACTTTGAGCACTTTTCCCAGCTAACTCAGACTCACTCACACATTTCTTTAGTTTTTTGCCTCACTTTCATTCTCCCTCTTCTTGTTTTTTCTCCACATCCCTATACATTCTATTTACTGTATCTGTTTTAAATCTTAGTTTTCTAATATTTCACTGCACGTTAGTACTCCATCCCCGATCTTGTCAGTGATTGCTTGGTCTATTCGACATCTTCTAGTACTGTTAGCTATGTGCTTAACCCCTTCTTTACTACAAACCAGACATATAACACGCTAAGAATGTGTTACTACCACATCTCGGTTTGCAGTAATTTAAGGGTTAATTTTTATACGCCCTGACAAATAAATTATATATAATTATCAAGTGAATATGACATGGATAGTGTAAACAATTGTTTCAATTACTAATTCACGGAACAGGTTGGTCTTGAGTCAGAGCTGCACGAGATAAGGTCAAATCGAGTCAGTCAGGAGAGCCTAGACCAAGCTGAGGTTCACCATATGCAACAGGAGATTACCAAGTTACATGAACAGTTGGTAACTAAAGAGAAGGAGGTCAGTCAGAGTTTGTATAGAGTAAATGTGAATCTCAGGAAACATCTGAAAATATTAAAAAATATATATATATATATTAAGTACAAAATTGAGACATTCTTTTTTACAGGCATATTACATAAGAATTCTTAAAAGCTATATGTTTATTTTTATCATAATTATCACTGGATTTAGAAATGCAAAAAGCTGCTAACTGTTAATATAGTTTGTTTAAGGGATCTAAGAAGAGTGTTTATGTTTCCCCGAAGGGTATCATATCTTAGTTTGCAGGTTAAATGGTCCCCAACATAGTCATTTGAATTGGGGCCTCTTAGGACTAGGGCCCATCAGGACTGGGCCCCAATCATAATTGTTAGGTTAGGTTGGAACACAAGATTAGGGACACATTTCACGGATCACTAATTTTTCATTGTTTAATTACGGGATTAATTTTTTTAGGCTTTTGCAGATTAAATAAATAATCTGAATTACTACTAATATTAGTTTATGTTACAAAACAGTATGGCCATAATAATTAATTACTTATAAGAGAATTTGAGTCCAGGCAAGATGTAGGAGCCAGGAGAAGGAACTGGTAAGTATATCCTTCTGTCATACAGCATTTATTGTACAGTACTTGTGTTTATAGTACAGTATGGGATGCTTTACATGGTTTATTTGGGGAGAAGCTGTTTCTCTGGGGACTACAATGTGATTATATTTTCAGCCATGTTTTTTTTCATCTATGTTCAGAAAATGTAAGAAGAGTCTCAATTGCCCTTAAGATACAGGTTCAATCTTGTGGCCTGGCAGGGTTGGTGAAGTGCTATTCAGCTTTGATATGCACTGAGGTGGTCACTAGGCAAGCTAACTTTATACCAGCTAATGGGTTACCACTTAAAGGATGTTAGAGAAAATATATACCGTAAAACGTGGCAAACATTTTGTCTGCCATTGTGGGTTTCATCTGATATGTGGCAAAGTGAAGAGTTATAGTCATTTTGTTTAACATTTTAATTTCACATTCCACTAAAGTAAAAGAAACAGTTTCTCCCATTTTATTACTTTACCAACACTAAGCACAAAAGCGTGGTTTTCCACTTAGTGGCATGACTTGTGTTTTGTAGAACAGGGGCACTCAGTTTTTGTATTCCAAAATGCTATACAGCACTGTATTGTCCATTACTCATTTCATATGTGCAGTAAGTAATATTTATGCAGTAAACTTTGGAGGCGACATGAGAAACAAAATACTGGAATGAATCATTAAAAAATCAACCACATACTGTACTGTACTCCTTAGCAAAAAAGATGACACATAACTGTAAAATGAAGAAAGCTTTCTCTTTAAATTAAGATAATAGTACAGTATGATTAGTTTTGAAAAGTATATTTTTATTAAGAGAAATTATCGATAATTTAAGTTTTGTTAAGAACTTTATCAGCACATTTCATTGACACTTCCTGCTGTGCTACCTCCGGATCTTAACAGCAGGCACTAGTAACTCCCAAATTCTTACCAAAATTGCTGGTATGGTGCCAGTTTGTAAGAAACTATGAGTCACATTTCAAATTTTACGTTGTTTTGATGAGAGACTTAGTACATACTGTACATTTAATATACTGCATAAAATTAAATCTGGACACCTCTGTTTTAGATGAAATAATTATATTTTAATAGCTTGGTGCATGATGGTAGTCCGTTGCATGTGGTTTTCAGACTGACTCTGTCAAGGTTTTGGAGAATAGGTTCCGACAAGACCTTCAGTCTCTCCGAGAAAAACTGATCGACAGAGATATTGAGGTAAAGTCAACTATTAATTTGTTAGTGTTTTATTGATGTAGATGTACAGTTTCTCCCTAATGGAGATGAATTGATTGATTTTAAATATATGCACATTGTTTTGATTGGGTGTTTAGGACACACGGGGATATACATTTAGAATATCCTGAGCCACTTGCTGTTGAAGATTGGTGAAAATACCTCATATATGTGAGCGCCACCAAACAGTGTTGTCTGTTTCCTAAACTATTTATGTTTTTCACTTTTGAATTATATGACGGTTACTTCCTTGGACTGTGTGTTTAAAATGATTCACGCCAGACATGTTGGGGAAACAGTTTAGTAGTCAGAAGGTTGTCACAAGCAGATTTTTTTTATTGTACGGTAAGTTAGCGAGCAAAGGATTGTTGCTTGCTAAGGCACCATTCAATGCATTTTTTGTTTTGTTCAAGTTACATGATGAAGTTGAGAATTTAGAGTGAAGAATGAATAATGATATACTACAGGTACAGGTACTGTATATCATATGAAGAATGGTGTTGGTTCTGATGCTGATAAAGGTTAGGTATGAATTTCTTGGTGCAATATATAGATTTGGTAATCGTTTGCAAGTTGACCTATAAAGATTTAAGTTCAATAAAAATTTTATGGGGTGTATCTGTTGGGTTCACTTGTCCATAATATAGAAACAGGACCCAGGGTTCTTATGTAGAAAGACAAAAGAGAATTTTCATAGGTTTAGGGGATCAAGGGGACTGTGGCTTATGTAGCTCAAGTGAGTAACAAAGAAGACAAATTAAACAACTGTAAAATTAATACAAATGTGTTATTAACTGTAATTGGGTTAATAATTTTCCTATTACTGTACTGTACTTTACCAGGAAAAATAAAGATAAGACTCTAGAGACAGTTTGTACTGGCCTATACACTACTTAAGTCTGCCAGTTCGTAACGAAAACTCTGAGGACCACTCTGTTCCACATGAACTAGTGATGTAGACGTAAAGAAACCGTTGTGTAGCGATCACGTGAATCATTACTACAGTTGTTTATTCTTATAGTGATTATATTTTGTCAAAACTTTCTCCTGTTCTAATGCTTAATAGTAATGGACTGTACTTTACTTAGTTTTGCTTGAATTGTTGATTTATTTTAGGTTATACTTGTGCTGCACTTTGTATGTTTTGACGAATGTGTGTAGCTAAAAATTACTAATTCTTGCATTAGCTGCTGCTTTTGTATTGTAAGTGGACACCAGTGTGTTCCTTTGTGTGTTGTACAGTTTTGTGGAAAATCCATTTTTTTGATTAGTCCTCAAGTAAGACTGAGGCAGTCACCCTAATGTTGATATTATATTCCTTCTGGCTCTCGGGGAAGGAGGGGTAAGAAAGATTCCCATGCCCTTAAGTTTGGGACACTCAAGTGTGTACATTAAATGTATTTTATTTTTTCAAATTTTTAATGACACGTGTTTTGCTTTTATATTGATTTTTCACAGTATCACTTCATTCAAAGGAAGGGGGTGCTGTACTGTATATAACAGAAGCAAATATCCTTTAATTATTTTTTTAATCATTTGATAATTCTTTATGGAGGCTTTTACATACTGATAATTTAATCTTCATTAATTATGTAAATATATTGCTTTGCAATAAACTAAAATATTTTTTTTTTGGTGCATGTATATACAGTATGTACAGCAAAGATATTATTTACATACATATACAGTTCTGTATAGTTATACATTTTGTTTATGTACGGTACACAAGTTTAACTTGCCTGGAATAATAAACATCTGATTAAACCATCAGTAACACATTTTAAATGCTTATTGTACCGAATCACATTTACAGCACTGCAGGAAACAGTTACCTTCACTCAGCCCATACTTAACATCTTTTAAATGCACATGATGCAGGACCTTAACATTACTGTACTGTCCCATCTTTTCCAAAATATTACTGTACAGACTACTGTACTTCCATCCCCTACTACTGTACTGTATGAAACTACTTGTATCAGTCACTTAACTCATGAGGATGACTGCCATTGTGCACTCACAATCACTGGTCCACAAATAAATGAAATGATAAAATAAAAATAAAAACAACCTTCTTATTGATTGATAAGCGCAACTGTTTGTCTGTAAGTAAAGTGTAAGGAACGTGTGAATTTGATTTGTAAATACCTGAACCATATGTTTACAAAAGTTTTATGTACTAGTTTAAGATTTTATTTAGTTTAGTGTTTGGAGAGGAACTTAACTGGGGTTGATGTCTTCAGTTGTGTAAAATGGGACTGAAGTAAAGAAAAGTTTGAGAACCACTGCCTTAGATTCTGTTGACCAGAAAGAATTCTATATGGTTTGTGTTCTTCCAAACTTTCTGCCCTGTCCTTCTTAATTTCAGGTTTTTCTAAATTCACCCACTATGCAATACAGTATTCTATTGTTATATACTAATGAAATAGAAATCCCAACTTTTTGCAACAATACCTAAACAAACAGTGTTGAATGCTTCAAGGCATAACAATAATGATGTACCGTCCCTGTTCAGTTTTTTTTTTCCTTTTTTGAGTCTGTAGATAAAGCCCCTTTTACCTAGATACAAATTTGTAATAGTCAGTTTATGAGTATAGTATTGTTCATAATACTGCCTAGAAAATTTCACTTTCTTGGAAAACAGTAAATATACTGTAATGAGATGCTGTAGTAATAGTAATTAAATAAAGTAGCTACCGGTAAGCCCACTCCATGGACATGTGGAGGAAGTTAAGAAACAACAAGTGACCTCTTTTTGTATTTTTAAACTGCATATTTAGACTGAATATACAGTTGCCAACAGGTACTGTTTAGTGTTCCACCCTTCGGTAGCCTTTGTGAACATGTGGCAATGCCGGAATAACTTTATGAATGAATGTAATTAGAGTAGAGCAGTTACTAACTTAAACAATGCACAAAAAAATCATTATTAAGATACTGTTTTACACTTTACTAGTGCAGATTGACCCATTAATATGTTGGCCAAGATTTAGGGTCTTCCCAGTAAACCACTTGATCATGACAATTTGAGGTAATCTGAAAGCCGAGTTAGCCATAGCACTATTCTTGACCTCAGTGGCTATTCCAGGTTCCAACTATAGTAGGTGAGATGTGTGAGCAACCTCCATTTAGCCACCAAAAGGATGCATTGTGGGATGATTCTGTTCACAGGAGTTTTTAAAAATTCCTGACTTGTGGTTAAGATGATTCTTTCAGTGTTATAATTAGATCAGAGAATCTTCAATTTTACCAGGTGGCATTATTACATGTGGCACATAAGAGAGAACTGGACTTAAAAGAAAGTAAAAGTGTCTCATGTATTTAAAGAGCTGGCTTATTTTTGGTCCATCTCAGTAGGACAGTAATTGATATTGTACTGGAGGTTTAACAGGAATCCCAGCAATAGCAAGTGTCTTTGTAAACTGGGAGAGATCTTCAGTGTCTCCTAGTTAGAATTTCCATGGCTAAGTCTCCAGTGGGACACTTGAACTGGGTTATGTTAGTTCCAACTGAGAAAGTTCAATCATTCATGGGGAGGTGTGTTCTGTTGTCACAGGAAAGTGTCACACTCAGGGTTTTGAGGTTTCTGTAGTAGAGTTGGGTTAGCTCTTCCAAAGGTCAATGGTTACCAGGATTATTCAGTCTTTGGTGATGAGACTTAAGAAGAGGCTTGTTGTGCTTCATGTAGGATGAAACCAGCACTAGTGGGTAGCTTGGTAGTAGTATTCTTGTTTCTCACTTTGTGGACTGGAGCTTAAAGATTACTGCTAGAAGTTTATCTATATGCACTGGCCTGGTTAATGTCAGTAAGAGGTTAAGTACTGTAGAGATGTGATCTCACTCGCCGATGTGTGTCTGAAGAAGGCAAGTTCTCCGTTAGGTTGTATGCCACACAGCACTTGGAGCTTCTTTCTGCCTCCATCCTTTTTCTATAGTTGGCTTCTTATTCATGCATGGGTCAATCTAAACTGGCATCATGTTGTAAAACGGAGATTGATACTGAAAACTCATTTTGTAAAAGAACCGGTGAAGAGCAACCTGTATCCCACTCACCTCCCAGGGATGTCTTTGGTGGTTGATTAGAATAAGGGGGTTGTTACTATCAACCTTGTTTACAACTTTCTTAAATCAAAAGAATGAGCTGCAGTATCATGGCTCCTTACACTTCCCTGTCTTAGAGCAAACCATGACTTCTAGGTAGTCGCCTTCTGAGCTCTGGTTATTATAGAGGTGCGAGTGGTTTACATGGGAAACAACAAAACCTTGAGTGTATACAAAATATACTGTACTCACAATTTTGTCCTTACTTGTTCTATTATAAAATGGGTTTTCAGGGCTAAACAATCAAATTTAACAACTCTTAATTCTTTATCTATTTTTTCAATTCAAATTGTTCACTACAGTACAGCACACACTGAATTGTTCGTTAGAATTAATAATATTTACATTGCCCTCAGGCTGGCAGTTTCCAGGCTAGGGAAGTGGCTCTACAAAATGACCTTAAGGCCAAGTCAGAGCTGGCAGCAGGATTAAAAGAAGAGATAAGAAACCTCAAAGATGAAGTAGACATAATGAAAAAGAAATTACAGGTAAACACTTTTAGTTTTTAATTGATAAATATTGAACAATTCTCCTATAATCTAATAATCTGTTTGAGTGTCTGTGTGCTTTTTAATATTATTTTATTTTTGTTTTTAATGTCTTATTCTATGAACTTTTGTATATATTATTGTATTCTTCTTATTTTTTTAAACTGGTGATTTCTTTATGTTTGTGTCCTAGTGAAGATTTTGTATTGTATGTACCTGTACTGTATGACTGTAATCCATAAAACCATTATTTTAGTAAAGTTCTTGTATTTTTGTAATCCTTTTGTTTATACTAGCATTATGCAAATGTTGTATGATTGTGTATAATAAAGTGCACATAAGAAGGGCTATATTATTGACAGGAGAAGGATGAGGAAGTCTCTCACATGCACAGTCAACTTGAGGACAAAGACGTAGTTATGACGGGAAACACTCAACAGACTGAGGAGCTCAAATCTAAATGTGCCAATTATATGGAGAATATTCAAGCCCTAGAAGCTCAGGTAAAGATATGTTTCTGCCTATACAGTACTCATTTATTCTTTAAGTATATAACAAGTAACCTATATGTTTTTTTTTTTAGAATTTGTGTTGAAGTTAAATCATTATATAATCATCAATCATTTAGTATTTCCATTTTTTTATTACTGTACTTTATTAACTACTTGTGTATGTGATTCCTTTTGTGGTGAATAAAATCGTCTAGTGGTAGCCAAATAAAATATTAAAAGTGGCATCCCCATAGTGAAGGAGTTAAATGGTATACAGTATATATTAACGCACTTGGTCATCAATGAGTATTGTTTCCTTATTTTTTCGTTGGTTGTAACATTAATATTTTTTAGAACGCCTCTGTGATATGGTCATGAATGTGAAAAGGAAGATTTTTTTATTATTTTTTTAATTTATCATTTTTACACATACTTTTTTCCTTGTTTGATGAAGGTGTCAGAGCTGAGTGTGAAGCACGTTGCCACTCAGTCAGAGCTGGAGACTCTACGGGAGCAGTTACCAGCACTTCAGAACAAACTCAGTGAGGCGGAGAAAGAGAAAAACAAACTAACTCGGGAACTCAGTGAGAAGGTAAGTGCATGGTGATGTAAATTTATTCATCTACCGGTACTGAAAAAACTAAATTTGATTCTATATGGATACTTTTTTTAATTACGGTACAGTAACTAGCTTTTGTATTTTAAGCTTATGATCTAACCAGTATTGTTTATTGAATGCTGTGTAGGCAACTTTGAAGATGGCAAAGCTTTTATGCATTTATATTCAAGTTATCACAGAAGATCTTTGAACTCTTCTTTCCAGGCCGGTGAATTGGAGAGTATAAAGGAAAAGGTAAATGATGCGTCTAAAGAAGAAAGTGAGGTGCTGAAGAAGAAGTCAGAGCAAGTGGAGGAACTACGAAAAAGTCTCAGAGATGCCGAACATGCCAGAACCACGGCAGAAAATGCCCTCGTGGGAAAAGTCGACGTTATTGAGCAGCTGAACAATAAAGTGACAAATGCTGGTAATGCTCTTAAGGATGCAAATGCTAAATCTGCATCACTGGAGGTTAATTTAAGGGAAAAAGACAAATTAATTGAAGGTTTACAGGAAAGAGTTAAGGAAATTGATGTTTTAAAGACTGACTTAACGAAGGAAAGGGAGACAGTCAAAGTGAAGGATCAAGAAATATCAGAAATAAAGAAGAAAATTTCTGAAATTGAAGCCAAAAAGACAGAAGCAGAAAGAACACTTCAAGATACCCGAGAAAATTTGAATAACGTACAAACAGCTTCTCAGGTTCTCAAGACTGAATTAGGTTCCATTAAAGAAGCTCTGAAGAAAAAAGCACATAGTATTGATGAGCTGCAGAGTAACCTGAAACTTGAACAAACTGAAAAAGAAAATCTGAAATCCAAGCTTTCTTCAGCTCTTATTGAGGTTGAGAATTCCAAAGATAGTATTCAAAAATTACAGACACAAAATCAAACTCAAGTGGCAGAGTCAAAAGCTATTCAGGCAAAGAATGCTAGCTTTGATTCAGAGCTCAAGAGACTGGCAAATGAGAAGAGTCAACTACAAGAAAGTGTAACAGCTCTGGAAGGAAGTAAATCTCACCTAGAGAACACCATGAAAGAGCAATCTGCAAAACATTCTCAGCAAGTACAAGAATTGAGTGAAAAATGCGAGAACCTGACAAGTGAAAACAAGGTGCTATCTGAACAGGTGGTTAACATCACCACAGAAAAAGATGCCTTGGAAAAAAGTAAAGGAATGATGACACATGAAATTAAGACCATCAAAGGAGACTTGGAGGTTTGTACAGTATTCTAGAGCATTTGTGAACTGTGTTTTGTGAACAGGTCTCAAGTTTTTTTTTTTACCATCCACAGAACAAACAATACATTGAACCCATAATGTTTTTAGGCTTATTAATTTGTCTCTCCATTCTTCATCAAGGACCACAGAGGCTTAAATGTTTATATGAGATTAATAATTGTTGTTTTATTTTTCAAAAACACTTTTTTAAGGAAAAAATGCACTCATGCTCAACACAGATACCTTATACTGTATAAGAATATTTATCACAGGTGTTTTCTCCAACAGTGTACTGTCGCAAGTTAGCTCATTTAGAACCTCCACGTGTTATGTGTTGGCATAATATAAAATTATTTTATAGGCCACATTTAACCACACTTGTATACTCTCATTTCTCCCATAACCATATGCAGTAATGGCATCTATTTGTCTGCTCATTGATTTCACTCACACAAACTTTAAATGTCTTTCTCCACAAAACAAACATTAAAATTTAAGCCACTGAACTTTTCCAGCAAAATTCTAAGTCAGTCAGTTGGTCACTCATAAAGCTGCTAAGGATTATAATGTATAGTACAGTATCTTGTGTTATGGAGTGTTTACAAATACTGTACAGTATATTATTTCTCACAGGAAGTGAGAACAAACAACAAGAAACTCGAGGTGCAGGTAGAGGCGTTTAAGAAGGACACCGTCACACTTAGTCAAGAGAAAGCAAAACTAGAAGAGCAGGTTAAGACTCTAGAAGATAAGGTGAGCAAAATATAATATAAATTCAGATATCATAGTTACTGTATCTTTAATTATGATTAACTCTTGGTTTTTTTAAATTATGTCTAGTTACTGCAGTATACATATAATTAAAGCTTGGAATTTTACATTTTGGTATAAATGCTTTTCAATATATATACTGGACTGTATTTCTTTCGGGTGAACAGCAATTAGTATAATATCCGTGATTTCTAAAGAATGCCAAAATCTTCCTATTTTGATGGTGTACATATATATAGTGCTATTAAGTTAGTGGGTTTCAAATCTAACTTCTGACTTGTCATACAATGTTTCGTTTTGTTAATAGTTAATGTCTTAAAGAATGTACTAAATTAGGCAATATAACATGGACAAAATTATCCCGATAATTCCTTTTTTTATAGGTTAAGCATTCTTACACCATAATATGTGCATTTCAGATGAAAATGTCATGCTATTTATTTAAAACTATGTGTACTGTAGGTGAATGAGGAGGCATCTATGAGGACTGTGTTATCTGGCCAACACGCTGCAGAGTTGGCTGCAGAGCGCCAGCAACGGGACCAAGCAGAGGCTCACTTCTTGACTCTTAAGGAATCAGTAACCAAAATGCAAACAGAGCAAAAGAACCAAAATGAAGCACAAAAGTCTGAGGTTTGTAACACTTGACACCATCCTCTCTAGGCACTACTGCTACCTGAATATCTTCCCTTTCCCATCCTTTCATCTTTCTTATGGTCCTCTTCTCACCCCTTACCATTCACCTTAGGTTTGGACACTCATTTTACCAGTTTCTCGTTTCACAATCTTCTAATACTGCATGTCCATACTGTACTGCTTGAGCAGACCGTGAGCTTCTCTCTCTCTCTCTCTCTCTCTCTCTCTCTCTCTCTCTCTCTCTCTCTCTCATTTATTACATTTCCCCACCTTTTCCTTATTATTACCCTATCCATCATTCTCAACTACCAACACTACATTATTGATTGTTTTCTTGATGCTCTTTTTTTCTTGCACCATTTATGATGTACTACTTTTTCAGATAACAAGGTTAACTACACAACTTGAAACTCAAAAAGAAAAAGTGGGAGAACTTGAGGGACGGTTGGGCACACTAGAGGCTGAAGCTGCCGGACTGGCTGGAGACAAGTTGGAACTTGAGGTCTGTGGAGCTTCATTATGACTTATACGCAGCCATCTTATTTAAACAAGATGTTTTAATACTAATAGTTAGAAAATTTAAATTTGGGTGAATGTAAGGCTAACATATTTATGAATTTGTGTGTTGAATTGAGTGATACTGGTAATTTAAAGTGAAGAAGGTATCCTTGTGCACTCTTATCAAATTCCAGCATCAACAATGCTTTTCAGCCAGGTCTTCAATGTCCAACTCAACCAAAATCCACTCTGTCCACATTCCAGTGCAGCTCTACACACTACAACTCATCTACTGGTCCTCACTACGTGTAGGACATTTACCCAACACTCTTAATATATCAACTAAACTTCCACAAAAAGAGTGACTGGTTGTTACAGTGATATCCCCATTAGGTGGAATCTTAGACCCCCCTCAACTTCCCAGTACAGTGATCCCTTGGTTAACGAGCGCCTCGGTTAACAAGATTTCGGTTAACGAATTACCTTCCATAAGATTCTTAACTTCGGTTAACAAGCAATCCCTCGATTAACGAGTTTTTAACGAGCGCCCCTCCACATGTTTTAACTTGCATTTGGCGGTCCACCAATACAGTAATCGGTTCTAAGGCTTAAATTCCTTACTATTTTAGTAAATATCAAGAAGTTTGTACTATTCAATAGTTTTAAAAGTTTTATATTAATTTTTTTAGTCATTTTAACAATTATTGAACATAATTGAAGTATTAAGCTAGTTTTTTGCGCGCCAAACAGCCTGTCAACACGCCATACAGGCGTCAGTCTCTGTCTTTTCAGTGGAGGTAACATCTTGCTTGAGACCCTCTTCAACTAAACGCTTTTTTTCTGTGTTTCCAAGCAAATTATTGGTCAATTTGAAATTTATTTTACATATTGACAATATATAATGCAGTGCAGTGTTGATTTAAAGAAAATAATCCTGAATTACACCAAGAGAACTAAAATTTTATGGGTGAAATGGCACCATGGGGTGACTTCTCTTCCACCCCAATGCCTTCTCTTCTCCCTTCTCCTCCACCCCCATTCTAATTCCCATCATCATCATCATCATCCAGGAGCCTTCTACATACACACCTCAAAGTAAGTGTACTTTACTACCTTTTTTTGTTGATTTTAGGCAATTTTCGGTGAGCTGGAACCAATTACCCAAAACCCATTGAAACAATGGTTTCGGTTAACAAGCAACCTTCTGGAATGAATTGTGCTCGTTAACCGAGGGACCACTGTACCCAGCAAATAAAATGTTAGCATTTTGAGAAATTCTGGGAAAATTGTTTCCATTCCAGACATTGAAATGAATTTCTGAGCGATTGCATCATGTGCCAACACTTGCCGAGCGAGTGGGTGGGTAGGCTCCTAGTGCTCGTGTACTACAATTAGCCACTACTGTCATGTGACTGCATGGGATGTATATGATTGGCTGGTGTATCTCGCAGTTTATCTCTTCAAACTTTTACATCATGACACGCTTAGTTCTTTGTCTGCTGCCATTGTACAAGCTTGTTCTCTCACTTTGCTGTTATCACATACGATCTTTGTTGTGCAGTACATACTATACTGTACTATACATTACTGTACCAGTAATCAATCAGCCAAGAATTCTGTTAAAGCAGCGTCAAAGCAGTGCTGAGACGTAAAAAAGTGATTATAGTTATGTATTTTGTACTGTACTGTGCTGTACACTCAATAAGTGTGAAAGTACAGTAGAGGGGTCTATGTACAGTATATGTACAATCCCTCCTTCTTGTAGGAAGAGGAGAATGATAGTTAGCAACACCTACTACAGTAGATGGTACAGGACCATACAGGACCAAGGCAGGCCATCCTGTATCATTGTACAATACATGTACAGGTATCACCATTTGGCCTGCTTGCATCACAAGCTCAAGACATCATCATCTGCTGATGAGTGCAGTATAATGTATACAGTAGTATATTTTACTTATTTACAATACTGTATACTGCACGTGTAGAGTAGTGTTTGCATAAATAAATGCCAGTGTCTGTCTGACTGCAGTTGAGCCTCCATAGCAAGGGTGCTCCACACCAGATGTGTGTTTGGAAGTTAAAACATTCATTAATACCTAGCAAAATTACATAGATATGCGACCTTTACTGGGGATAAGAGAAATCAACGCAGTACCCGGAAATCTCTTAAACCCAGAAACGCTCTGCACCATTTTTTTCTGGAAACAGGAATATTACTGTGTTTTCATTCCTGGGAAAATTAAGTTTTACAAATATGAAATCCGTGTGCTTGTACTTTAATGTGGTCGGTGTTGCACCCTGTTTGCCACTTAAAAACTATTCAGTTTCTTTCATATTTTAAGGTCAATGTTTTAACCTTTTTAAAATATTAATAATTGACATGCAGAATAAGGCAAATTATTTACTGATTTACAGGTTCGTGTAGAAGCTGCTGCTGAGGAGCAGAGAAGCCTAGTGGAGCGCTGTGTAGCGGCAGAATCAGAGGTAGAACGACTACAGAGTCAACTGACACAACTCAGACGTAAATTGGATGATTCAACAGCTGCTCTTCATGAACTTGGGCGAGAGAATCAAAATTTGCAGGTACAGTAATGTATGATTAAAGAGTAACTTTTTGACTCTAAAACATGTCTGCTAGTATTACTTGCATACATCATAATGTTTTCACTCTTATAGAGCCCCTGTAATATTGGGGGCTATGGTCCATGGAGGGAAAATTTAGGTTAACTGAGAAAATATCACACACTCACTGCTGAGATGCCCAGAATAAAGTAATGAGAGGCCCCCAAAATAAGTAACATGTAAGAGTACAGATAATTATCAGAAAATTTACAGCTAAAAGTTTGCTTTCTTTAAATAAACAAAAGTGGTGTTAAAATATGATTATTATTTTTAAAACAAATGTTTGCTTTCATATTAAGAAAAAAAAAGGGTGTCAGAATGTGACTTTTTTTTATTGGGCATTCATTTATCGAGGGATAGCTGAAGTGTATGTATGTATGTACTGTAGGTATGTATTCATATGATCTTGTAAATACAGTACAGTACTGTACATTGGAAAATTTTCAATAATATATGTTAATGTATTAACCAAACCAATATACTCGTGTAATATAAAAAAGTTCTTGAATTTGTTTATTTTTTAACATTACTGTTCAATCTTTAAAATGGTTCTGATTAAAACTTTCTTGTTCCCAGTTAGGCAACATGATCTCTAATTCTTCTGCTCCTGTGGGTATGCATATTACTTTTCCCATTGTGTATGTTGGTGGCATATTAGTTGGTTTGATAATTAAATTTTTTTTTTATCATTCAGATGGAGACTACAAAATTAGCTGGTCGCAAATGGGCAGATGACTCAGAAGTGCTGAACTGCCTTGGCTGTACCAAGGCATTCTCGATGACCATAAGACGTCATCATTGTCGTAACTGCGGGCAGATATTTTGTAATGACTGTTCAAGTAAGCAGGCACCATTAGAAGCTAACAAAAAGTCTGTTAGGGTTTGTGATGGGTGTTACAATGAACTGACAGCAAAGTTGTAGAATCAAGTTAAAAAAAAAAATTTAATATCACAATAGTATTACGTAATGGGGTACTGTTGATAGGAAAAACTAGCCTTGAGCTTGAGCTTTTTTAACCCAATTTGATTATTCTGAAAATAAGGTAACTAATTTTTATGGTAATTTTGTAATCTGAAGATATATAGAATCACTGTGAAGTTTTGGCTTTAACTAATATGAATTTATTCCAGGCAAAAGAGGTGCTTGACATGCACATTTAGTTGTAAAGTTAAACTACCTTTTTATAAATATATATACATATACACTACTAGCTTTATTCATAGGTATTTCATGAACCAAACATGATTTGATCAACAGAAGAATGACATGACATGACATGGAGGTGTAATTGTGATTAATTTACTTTCCTCTGTCATCTGTAATGGAACTTTCAATTTACTTTATTGTTATTTGTTGAGTATTAATAATTTTACTTGAAATCTGGCATTTCTTACCTCCCTAACAATGGATCCATAATGACATAGGCTTCGAGTAATTTTCCTGATAACTAGTAGGATGATATTTGCTGCTGGGAATGGTTAAAAATAGGAAGAAGGTAGCAGCGGCAATATATTTTTCACAATAGCATCACAACCCTGAAGCCTAGACCGGTGTTTAACAGTTTCTTACGTGCATTGGACATCAGTTGAGTGGGTGACTGCTCAATATTATGCATGGAGAGTTTTGGAGTTAAGTTTTATTCTTCACAGAGGCAGTACAGTATGAAAAATCTAGTCTCCATAATGCTAAGGCGACTCACTGAATTTAACGTCATGATTTACAGTGCAATTTGATATTTATATTATTTTTAGTTCCCATATGTCTACTTGCGGAATGGACAATACAGGTGTGGGACCATTTATCCAGCATACTTGGGTGTCAGTGGATAGGGGTTTTTTTTTTTCCCAGAATTTAGAGCGCCAGGCCTAAAATGTACAGTAAACTCTCTGTAACTCGCTGTGTTGTCATGTTCAGATCACTAGATTCACCACTAAAAGTAACTTTAACTATAAACTGGATTGAGCAGCTATGACTGTCACTTAGTCTTAGCTCATCCATAGAACTAATATGAAATGCCTATTGTACTGTCATCTTCTTGCCAATTATATTTGTTAGATATGTTCGTCAGCTCAATGAATGCCATTCCTGAATAACTGACAGAAAATTTGCCTCACTTCCCTGGCTCACAATCATGGGTTCTTCACCTGGCCCTTACCTCATGTACAGTATGTCACACTTGATATTTTTTTATTTTTTTTTTATTTATTTAATTTTGTTTTTTCAGGAGATAAATCAGGCTAACTGGGCTGATTCATGTTAGGGAGAAGTTAATATTTTGCATCAGTTTTATTAAGTATAATATGAAAGTTTATGGAAAAGATGCTTTATTTCTAGAGCCATTATTTTCTTCTATTTAAACTGAGTGGATTATATAACTTTTAATCATTATTGAATTTGAATCTATTTATGAGTAAACAATCTCTGATTTAGGTAAATTAAACTTTACTTTCAGTAGATGTAGGAAATATAACATTTGTTTATGTCTTATGATGATCTCCTTCATCCTAAATGTGAAAACTGTATGCTTAAGACAAAGTCACAAAACACTAGTTATAGAGAATGCACAAATATTTGTCGGGGTATGTAGCTGTAAATAATATATACAAAAACTAATGAAAGGGTAGAAGGTAAATGCTGGAAAACTATGGAAAAGTTTCTTGATAACTGTAGTATGTAATTTTAAGAATATAGACATCATATGCTATAATATATATATATAGTTATATCTAATTTCTGTTCAACCTGCTAATAGGACGCAGTATTTTGGTGGGAGTTAACTGAAGCAGTGACATATTACGTATCTTATTTTGACAAACGTTGTAAACAAGGTCCTTTGATCTGGGTATTATTATAAAGTAGTAATTCTTGTGCCTGTTACTATTTATTTTGGTGGTTTATGTTCACAAAGATCCATTACTTAAATTACAGAACAGTTACATATGTCAATCACTGGACTCGAGCCATATTTAATGATGTGGAGGCTGTACAACTTTAAGAAACAACATTCTCACAAAGGTCTGCTTGACTGAGATTAGTTTTGTACTGTATATGGATTGGCAAGTTAGATCAGTTGGTCATTAAGTCCACCAGTTATAATATTTATTACAATAGGTCTTAGCATCTCTCACTGAGAAAAGAAAGCTGTCAATATAATTAATGTAGTACTGTATCTTCTTTATTACATACAGGGACTGACAATCATTATTAGATTCTAATTTACTCAAAACTATTACGAAGTGATGCAGTACTGTAATTAGTTACGATAAATGTTTATTTTAAATCATAATCTGAACTTATATTTATAATGAAATACTTGATTTCTATTGAAATTTGGATACTTTTGTGCTGATATAATGTTATGTGGGTTAACTATATACTTGTAAATACTGGACTGTCATAAGGAGTCAATATTTTATATACTTTGGGAAAATCAGCAGATTTCTCTTTAGAGAAGGGCTTCTGTATCCTCGTTACATTTAATTACTTTATCCCTGGTTAAAAAGATTGACTATTGATCCATCTGGATATAACAGTGGAGGTGCACACACCCACTTATCAGGTTGTATTCAACTATAAGAGTAACAAACTTAAGTGCAAAGTGCCTCGGTAAGTTTTGCAGTTTACTTGTATATTATACGTCAAAGTTATTGGAGTACTCTCTCAAAATATGCTGTCAGTTCCAATTTCTGATGGGCATTGATGGATTTTGAATGAATTAAGTAGCTACTGTATTAACTGTTGTTAGAGAAACAGTTCATCAGGTATTAATACTAATGTACAGTATTGCATATTCTTGTGATATTTCCAAAGCCTTTTAATAAGACATGAAAACAGATAATGAAACATCTATCTCGCTAAAGACATTTGAATTTAATAATTGCTTTCCTAATATTTTATTAGCAAAAAATTCAAACTTTATACTGAATTAAACTACCGGTAGTCTTTATGTTAGAATATGTGTGAGCTGCTAATGAAAATGACACATACCCTGTATGCTGATTAGGTAATTAATATGCAAATCCGGACCCATGTTGTAGCTCGTGTTCAGATTGGCCACCACACTTTCATCAAGATTGAACAAAATCAGTCCAATGATGGTCGAGTTATCATGCAAATAAGCTTTAAAATACGTACACACATAAATGGACGGACACACAAACACTTCCTTACATATTACTGTGAGCCTCCACTTACAGCTGGGCTGCCCACAAAAAGGACCAATGATTATGAATGAGGAGGAAACATGCAGTTAAATGGTGATCTTGAGCATAAATATATTGATGTTTAAATTATTGTCTGTCAATTAGGTTGTATCTAATTTTACTCTGAAATTTATATTGTATTTTCTTATGAATTAATTAGTTTTCTCTGATACAATGTACACCACTGATAAGAGTGGCATCCGTCCGGGAGGAGAGGTTCATTAGTCTTGTGTGCAATTAAACAAATACTCTTGTAGAAAAAGGGTGGTTGTAGAAAAGAAAATTCCAGGTTGTACCAGTTGGTATAACCTGGATACTAGAGGAGTGAGTGACAGGTGAAGCAGTAAACACGGTGATAATCTACAGCCTCATTTGACGTAATACTCTCTGTCGGGAATAGTGTAATTTTTTTAATTGTTTATTCTAGTTAATGGAAAATTAAATTTTGTACAGTACTTAAATCACTATCAAAGGTAAATCTAATCTATATCATTATAGCCAACTTGAGATTTAAGGGAAACAGTTGTAAGCAGTTTAGTGGAAAACAACTTGAAGGTTAAGAGTGACTAGATATACAGTATATATTTTTAGATAATGGTTTGTATTTGACAATAATATCAAAACATGTACTACTGTAATGCATATTAAGTTTGGCAAAGTTACATTTTACACTGTTATACACTGTAGCCTGAGTTGCTTAACTGATTTTACAATGGTATTATAAAGAATATAATCCAAGTAAGTTATAGAAATGACCTTTGTAGAAGTGTAAATAACTCATGTTTCACGTAATTACCCCATCACGAGTGCACTCTGTATAAAGACTTCTGTACTGTACTAGTTGTGTGTATAAAGTTAGTGTTTGTTACGAAGTAGTTCCAGAGTTGTGTCCATCTGATTGTACTGTATCTTTCACTAAGTGCTTTTCCTATAAATCTTTGTGTGCTTGTGATTTATATCCAATATCTCTCTCATCTACACTGCTTTTGGTTCTTGGTGAATGCTGCAACTTTTGCAAACAAGTAAACTGCCATACTTTTCCAAGCATATTACCAAAATCCATGGTCTTCCCGTCAACATTTTTGTCTGGACAACGACCCCTTGCCATATGCCTCATGATAGATAACCTGCCTGTGCTATTTTCCGTGCATCATTTTTACATGTGGGGATTGTATTTGTTGTACTATACATTTTAGCCCTGAGTAGAAGTTACCCATTATTACAGTCTCAATTGTCACTGGAAATACTAATGTGAGAAAAGGATTGAAGGATGTGTCTTTCCGCTCAGTGATGGTTCTTGGCCACACCATATATTGCCCTTCATGGATTGCTCTAATGTATCTCTGCTTTTATTTGCTCTTAACTTTTTTTTACCTATTCCCTATTCTATGCATTTGCTAAGCCAACTCTCATTTTCTTAACCAACATTTTCCCACTGAGATTTGTGACAGCTCCTGTGTGATGTACCTAAGTGTAGAATTCATTAGCAGTGCATCTGGATCTTTGACATGATACTGGATGATATTAACTACTGTATAGTATAAACACTTCAAAGGGGGAACGATGTAATACAGTTTTCAGTGTACTGTACCCTTTAAAATTAAGTAAAAGTTATACAGACTTTCAAAAAGGTAGTCAGTCTTCCTGTAATCAATGTCACATGTAAAAGCCTTTGTATATAATTACAAACCCCTTATATAATTATTTATCACCTGAATGATAACATTTTTGGTTGACGATGCATTATCTCGCATTTTTCTTAGTACGTTAAGTAGCTACTTCAAAGTGGTGATTGTGCTTCCTCTATCATGAAGACAAACTACAGTCCAATCATTAATTATATTTTTTACCTCTTTTGGAGAGTTGTCTTTATGTTGACTGTTAATAGTACAAACTAAGTCAGTTGCCAACACATTCGAGAGATTTTTTTATGTCTCCTTTTTTGCTTCAAATATAATGAAATAAATAAAAAGTCAATAATAATCATCACCTGCTGTGGCTTATAAAAATTAATTACAATATTAACACTGTTTTTGCTGTAATATTCATTGTGTATGACTGTATTGGTTATGTCATTCAGCAGGAAGTTAAAGAAGTGCTAAATATAATTGTGAAAAAATTATCAGTTTGATAATTCATATTTAATCGATCTAAACAATAAATATCCATTGCCAAAATGATTTCTGGGTTATCCTATGTGACCATGTTTGTTTGTGACACAGAAAATAGGATACACAAGCTGAAATAAAACAGTACAAGTGTATATTTTTGGTATTTATCAGTTATATCTTATTCTTGATTATTAAAGCTCTTCACTTTCATCAAATACGGGTGCAGCTAGAACTTTAGATTAGCCGTTTGCTTTGTTGAAATGTGGGTGGATCTCTATACAGTATATGTTAAATAGGACTTTCTTTAAATTACAATAAAAACAAAACATTTAAGATCTTATACTGTATAAATAACTTGGTCATTATGTGTCTCCATACAATCACATATCAAAGATCCAGCAGCTTTGTTAAAAATACTAATAAAATAATTCTGTGCATTTGTCTAGTGGTTATGTACATAAAGCAGCTGCCAAATACTTTTAACACAAGAAAAGAATTAGTGTAGTCATGCTGGGTGAGTTGATCAGTGTAACCAATTAAATTAATTAAGACAAAAAAGCTAAAGAAATGGGAAACAACTAAAATCATATTGGTCGGACAGGAAGCTTGAGGAGTGAGGCTAATGGAAAAAATCCGTCAGTGAGGGAAAGACCATCTGGTATTCACGTATATAAAATTTATAATTGATGTGTTTGGTTTTGGCATGTTATTATTAATTGAATATCATCATTTACACAAGGAATAAATTTATGGGGGAGGAGAAAAAAAAGTAGTGAAAGATGCACATTTAGTGTAAGAACAACAAAGAATGTAAGTTTATACTGAGTGAGGTGATATGTATGTATGTACTTTTTATTACTGGTAGATACAGGAAGGACAATAAACAGAACTAGAAACTGTGTCTACTTCACTGTTATCACACTATGCACATTGACAACAAAGGTTAACCTCCAAAAATTAGCTAATTGCAAAAGCTAACTTAAAACATAACAAATGTCAGAAAGTGCAAAAATGTAGGTCAGTTGCCTACTTTTGATATTAAGCTGTAAAACTTATGAAATTGCATGTGCTTCTAAAGTTTCACTACTACTACTGTGCTATATGGCAAATTGTAATGAAGTCAGGTTGTATGTACGTACAGTACAGCTATAGATGGAACGGATATATGAATGGACGATCAGACAAGGGTTACAGTTTTATCCCCTTTCTATTTTTGTACAAGGAATAAAGACACATTTGGGGAGACAAAAATATTGGCAGCAAAAATAACAATATGCAACATATTGGTGGGTGGCTGTGTTTCCTATTGCCCCAAATCTCTTAATATGTATCATCTAAGTCGTTTATTATTATTAACCCAAGATAACAACTCGGGTGTCGGTCACAGGACATAAGACCAGAATTTAAAGCTAACTGGATTCCTTGTACAGACTCTTATACATTGTTTAATATTCCTGTTAAATACCCTACAAGAATGATGGCATCTATGAACTTGATATTTTCCTAAAGGATAGTAATTGTCTATGCTTGTGGTTGCAGTGTTTGTATGTAAATATAATTTTCAGTTAGAAGCAGGTTGTCTTGTACCAGTGTTGATCTCAATCTTGATATTTTAATTAGAGTGTTATTTTAATACTGTATCGTACAATATATACAGTAAGGAAGCAGTTCACCTAATATGTAACTGATGCAAAACATGAATTTGCTTCCTTTATGAACATATGAGTTAATTAATTCCATGTTGATGTAACTGAGACATCTGCTTTATAGTGTTTATCCTTCATTAAGAGAACTGTAAACCAATTAGGAGATAGTCATTAGCTTTTACATCTAGACCAAACTAGTTTTTGCCACAAAAACTGACCAAGTCCACCTCAACAGCAGAGTTCATGATCAGGAGCCATGTCTCTGAACAGTATAAAGTGAATAAATATTTCAATTCTTCTAAGTTGTTTTTGTGATGTAACAAGGATAAATGTTTGAGAAATCATTACTTTGTTTATACTTGTATTATCAAGTTTACAAAGCCAGAACCACATCCAAAGTGGAGTGGCAGTTTTAATGAGCAAATAACATTATAGTACAGTACCAGCAAACTAACCATAAAGCCTTTACCTATCATTTAAAATCTAAACATGTTTTTTGGGGGGAGGGAGGACCCAGAACATCTCTTATAGATACAGTACAGTATTATATTTATGAATCATTAGTTTTAAATGAAAAGAATAATACTGTAAGCTTCACACCATTTACATGTTCTGTAGTACAATAATCTCCCACCAATGTTCAAGGTTCAGTCCAAAAATGTTGCTAATTTATCACCACTGGAGAGATGATTTAATATGATTTAACTTCCATAACTCTAAGTCTTCCAATGATTGAACCTTTGAAGTCATATTTATATTTCCACAACTTTTATGGTTTCTTATGTAAATAAACACTGTGGCAGCCAGAACTCAGCCATGAATTATGGATATTTTACCACAAAATTTAAAAAGATGTTAGTACTGGAGGTACCCGCAAATTTAAGAATGAGAATTTGAATTTCGTGAATTAATGCGACGTCACTGTTATTCTAAACAAAAAACATAATACTCCAGTGAGAGATACTTTCAGTTATACCCACAGCACAATTCAGGCAACAATAGAAAGTTTATACATTTCTATAATGGTGCAAAATGGAGGACCTGTTATTGCGTTTCATTGTCTTTCATCCAAGTTGATATTTTTTTTTCTTTACGTAATTTGGTAAAAGTTCCTGGATATGTTTTATTGAATTTAAAGTTGATTATACATACTAAAATGACCTAGTTTCTCATACTCATGTAAGATGTAAACCAAATCCATTTTAACCCCTTGTGGATGGGATCACTTCCAAGGTGAATAAAATCATCTGATATTAGCCAAATAAAATATTCAAAGCAGCAACCCCACAGTGAAGGTGTAAACACGTAATCCACATAAGTGTTCTCGTAGTCTGAAGTGGCATAAGATTTTCTTAAATACGAGAGAGAAACCCACAGAACCAAAATTATTGCCCATTTTCCAGAATAATTTACCCAGTTTAGATATACCCTAGACACCCCACCCTACCCTACCATGTTTTGTATATAGGTAGCTGCTGGTGTAACTGTGGTGTGTAACATGAAAAATATGATCCAAGTTAAAAATTAGAGAGGCAAGAATGGATCAGTGACTGTCAAGTACGGGAATCACAAGATCCTTGTCATACACTTAACTTTAGTTTGGTACGAGGATGAAAAAGCAAATGTCTATGAGGAAAGATCACCGAGAAGAATACTTGTTTTCTAAGTGGCATGATATGTACAATATTCTTTTTGATCTAGAAGTGCTTTTCTGCGACTTTTATTTTATATTACAGTACGTTTGTTATGTAATTTATTGAGGAATCAAATGCTAAGGATCGTGAAAATATTGTAAACACTGAGTCATGGCTTTATGTTGACTGACAAATACTATTAAAAGAATCACTGCATTAAACATACTACTTCTTCATTTTGTCAACACTGTAGTTATGTTTGTTAACTGTAGTTGTGAAGGAAGATAAAACCTTCCCGAGTAAAAAGATCTTTAGATTTTATGGTTGCTATTTATTACACTTGATTTGATTATGCTCATTTGGTTAATGGTGAAAAAATTATATATTTTTATGTACCGTATAACTATGTAAGTCTTAAATTATCCCAATGTTTTTACCATGTGAGTTTGAATTGTAGTAACTCTTGTTAATTATAATGCAAAATAAAATTTATGCTGATACAGTACAGTATTTTGTAGTCCTTCCACATCCTACTTTATTATTGTATGAATTATGTTTACTGAGTTTGCTATACAGTATACTGTACACTGTTTGGATATAATCAGATATGTACAGTACAGTCTAAGAAATAAGTACCTTCCCAACTTTGGCCGATGAACATTGAAATTTGGCGGATTATAATGAAAGCATAACCTGACTACATCTGGTCAGTTGGTATGTATGACTAGATACAAGCTTCAACTTGTTCTACAAATGATAGTTTGAAATAAAGATAGTGGACTTACTATTCTATTTGTGGAATACAGACGCACACTCAGTAATAAATGATCATCGGAGAAATGAATTAATTATGCAAATCGATTGTAAAACTGTCTACCCCTTTCCAAGGTTCCACGTCCCTGCCAACTGTTTACGAGGTACAGTACACAGAGGCGTGCATCAGATGGCTCAACTTTCCTGCATAATATTCGCTAAAACTTGGGATAATACAGTAGTTGCTTCTCAGGTTGTACAAGTCAAAGTTCAGTACAGTCAGACCTCTTAAAACAGACAGTTTACGGTATGTTCCCGAGTGTCAATATTATTCTTAACCCCATAAATGGTACAGGACAGCTTTCTTGGGTAATGGTAATGGATCTACAGATATACTTATGATTTGTATACATAAAAACAAGGCATTGTTAACATAAATAACATATGAAACTAAATTTAGTCAACACTCACCACTTCATTTTGTAAGAGCTTGCCGTGCTGTTGACCACCATTGCCTCACACCTACTGCACATCTCTATCACTTGCAGTTTCACATCCATACTAATGACTTAACCGATCACCTTGGCTGCTTTACCAACAACTGTCTTGCAGGCCACCTGCTAAACATGATAGACCTAAGATTTTCACACAGGAGATTGCATTAGAGAGCTACAGAGAAAACTGAAGCAAATTTTGGTGGGCTCTATACATTGATTAGACAAGCACTGATTGGTTTAAAGGATGGTTGTGGACATGTGCATTGGTTTTACCTGTACAGTACTACATTTCATATATTTTTTCTTTGAAGTTTCTTTTTTAAGATTCAGTACAGTACTTACTAATGTATTATATTTATTCATTGAATATTTTTCTTTTCTGTTAGGTTAAAATATATCATATGATGCTCTGTTAAACGAGGTCTATCTGTATACAGGTATCCCCTGATTTACGATAATCCGCATTAACGTCAGTTAGGATTTAACACCGTCTCGCAATTTATGTTAGGCAAATTCCATTAACGATAGCTATCGGGAGGCTTAACTCGTTGATGTAGAATGTAAACACTGGGGAAGAACATACCTCTCTTCACTTGTCAAATCCAAGATGGGTCAATGACCTGTGACCAAGTGGGCTATTCCCTACATACAATATATATATATACACAAATGTGTACATTTAATAACTCTTATAAAGACTGAGCATCTCAACCAACAGATAAAAATCACATTGGACCCTGCCTAGCTAAGTGCACCGTACTCGTATGTTAGGAGAGGTATCCAGCCATTGATTCATATTTGATGATGGCAAGCGAGACACTATGCCACCAGGTAATCATGGCTAACTCATGCAAGCACAGAAAATGGCAATGAGGATACACAAATGGACCCACATTATACATTACCTTGAGTAAAACCTTGTTATACTGTAATCATTAAATTAAATTAATTGGGGTAAGGTGGGTTTTGATTATCTGAGCAGTCTTTCCTGGGGCACAAAATGAAACCATTTACGACAATTTTAAGTATATATTTACGGGTAATTTATGAACATTTACAGTACCCTGTTGGATCAATCAATGTTCCAATAAACATAAAAAACAAATACTGTGCAGTAAACCCTCATTTTTATGTGAGGTTGTGTCACTAAACGAGCCACACAATCATGGTACAGTAATGCACAAGTGCAATTACATTATGTAATGAGAATGTAAAGGTTAAGGTCCAGGAAGCATTGAGACCATCCACTACTAAAATTCTTCTACTCTCTATACAGCATCAGTTGTACACTATAATGTAAAATTAAACACAAAATAGCTTCACCACTCAATAGATTATTCACTATTAAGGTCATTTTGTGACAAGGGCTGGTACAGGTATACAGTATGATGTCCCAGACCTGTTCCCCACTTTTTCCTGTTTCACTGTCATGTTGTATACAGTAATGTATCAATGTTTATGTTAAACTAAATAAAGTAAAATATCAGTGCTCACAAAATAAAAGAATGCTGTAGAATAAAAGCAATTTTTGTTCTGGTATTCAAGTGTGACACAAATGACTGGCTGGTAGTTTAACTACCTTGAAATGTTCTATCCATGATTAACAGTCACTCATTCCTCCAGATAATGTAGGTCCTTACTGTTGGATTTTATTGTAATACAATAACAACTGTAGTGTACTGCACACGATTTGGTGCCCCTCGCCATAAGACTGCTACACTGTATATGTTTTGGGTGCAAAAACTATACTGATGCTGAGAGACAAGTATAAGTAGGGAAGGGTGGGAAGGGAAATGAACATTCTTCTATTGCACTGATGTGAATTACTTGATACCATATCCTGTAGTAACGAGGGTTTACTGTACACTGACATAACATTAACATCCAAAAACATAAAAATTACGAGTTAACCCGTTTGCACCCCCCCGAGACTTAAGCACTCACTTTGGCCTTGCACTACCACCACCACCACTATCACTTGTACTTGCCATGGTGATGAAAATAAGGAGCACTACTGTACATATACAGGGAAAAAATAGCGCCAGAATACAGTGCGCGACTTGAAGATCATAGTGTGTGTGAGTGGAGCGTCGATTAACTCTTGTAGTGCTTGTAGTGCCTACAATAATTAACCATGTAAGGTCAGTAAATGCTCTACTGTAATCGTTCTAAGAAGTTTTTAATTTTCTCATCATGTTTTTAAGTATCCAGTCCTGCACAAGGCAATAATATCCCTTTGTAAGCCTCCCACACTTGATACATATGGTCCATGCACCTTGCCAACCCCTCACTTACAATTCAGCCATGATAGAGGATAGTAACACATTTATGTAAGAATAATATGTGATGAGCTGTGTTTAAACATTTATATGTAAGCATTAGACAATGGTCAGGGTAAGTTTTCTCATTTGTATAGATATATACCCTGTACTGTATATATTTTTTGGCAGTTCTGCATGCTTATATTGTAGATTATTTTGAAATATGTTTTATCTATTCTCAGACTTAATTTTTGCACACAGCATATCAGCATGAGTTTTAGCACTATGGCACTGCAAAGATTAACAAAGGACCGAGTCGGGCACATTCCTAAGGAAAGCTGAGTCTTACATCCATATGTGATGATCATGTGTTGTGACCTAGGAGACAGGACCATTATTATTTGTAATCAATAATATTAAAGTACTTTCCAATTTTTATGGGTACAGTCTGGGAGTACTATGAAGAATTGATATGAACTAAGAATCTCAGAATAACATTGCAATAAATTTACAGTGCAGTGAGTTCTGCTATAACGCGTGTTTTGACAACGCGAATTAACTCTAATGCAATTTGTGAATAGAGGAACGATATTTGTATAACGCGAACGCTTGTTTGCTGTAACGCGATTTTTGCTTACTATTTCTCCAATTTTGTGGTATTAACTGTGAATATGGTAAAGAAGAATATCTCCAAGAAGCGTTCTGGTGATCGCATTCCCGGTGATCGTAAAAGAAAGGCTATAACCCTTGAAGAGAAGCTCGATGTTATCAACCTCAAAATCACCCTTCTCCCCCATCAAGTTATATTCATATTTTTTCAAGGTAAAGTGTTACATTGACTGTATGATTTCATTATTAGATATGAATGTAATATTTATTTAGACTGTGCTAACCTTTGTGTTAGGCTAACTACTAAATTTTTTTCGATTTCGAGTAGTAATCTGCACCTAACCCTATTTTCTCCATAACCCCTGTTATTTCTATTACGCGAATTTCTATAACACTATGTTTTACAAGAACACAACTATCGCGTTACAGCAGAACTGACTGTAATTGCAACAAAATCTTCAAATTTTCCAGAAAGTAAAAAAATGTGCCAAATTAGGTCCATTTTATTCAGGTTTCAATTGGGTCTTAATGTACAGTGCTTACAGTATATTTTTGGTGGATTTTTAACTAATTCAGTATTATAGAGAACTGTCTTTGCTATTCATACAGGTACAGTATTCCTCATTTATTGCAAATCTGCAGATATTGTACTGTAAGTTCAATTTATCACAATTTAATTTTATAACTAAAACATTCAATTACACTGTACCAATGATATAAATTTTTTCACAAGTACTAAGGAAACAATTTAAAACTGCAGATGTGAATTACAGTACAGTGTAGTGTAGTATTTCTTACTGAGGAAAAACCAACAGGAAACTCCTAGACGAGCACACACAATTTCACTCTACTGTTCATCCTCTGTTATGTGACATAGAAGACACTGGCTGCTGGAATGCCCATTGTATTAAGTCTAATATTTGTGAAGCTACAGTTGTTTATGTACTGTAAACTACTGTATGTAAGCAATTACTTACTTAGAAACATCCCCAAATCATGCATAAAGATTGCAAAAAGTATTGCCACAACAAGCATGTCATTTTAGAAGTGAAATTAGACATTATTAAGGGACATGAATCTGGTTAAGGTGACACAGTTGACAGGTACTGTAGTCATGGGGAGGGGGGCAAAACACACACCTCTTATTGGTATTTTACGTTACAGTTTATACATTCCTGTATATTTATATGTACAGTATTTCATGTTTGTTTGTTTTTTATTGATGTATAAGTGTTTTTGTACACACACACACACACACACAAAAGTACTGTATCTAAATTACTGGCTAGAAAAGTATCCCGTTTAATACTGCTCATAGTTTCTTACGTAAAAAATTGTTTTGCACATTGCAAGAGTTTTCAGAATCAGAAACCTTGCAATAAATGAAGACTACCTGTATATGTATTAGAAAAACAGAATTGTCATTTCGAGTAGAAGCCGCATGTCAAATGACCTCTGTCAAATATGTAAGCTCTAGCATGGAGGAAATATAGGTTTTGTCTTTCCTGTCCAGAGATTGATCTATTCTATGGCTATATTTACACTATGACCCACATCCTACAAGCAAATAATAGTATAACACATTTTAATAACTTCAAAACTAAACCACAAATATTATGATTTCTCATTTCTCCATTGTACACTATTTCCTGTTTTCACCTTCATTTTTATCTTCTCCTATATCCAAGCTACTCCCCTTTGTGTAAACTTCGTGAAGGAGTTTGAGAATATGAGTCTCCATGTACAGTACTGATAATGCCTTTATAAATAAGCATATTACAGTACAGTATAAGGATCATTTGAACATTAAGTACCCCTGATGGCTGAACACCCTAACGTTACCTGGTGGGTTGGGTCAGGGTAGATTAGTGTTTGGGTGTTTATTCATAAGCAAAATTATGCTGGGATGCCTAATCTTGATGTGATCCAATTTTAATTTACATATGGAATGTGGAAGCATTTCTAGGACATTACTATGGGATGAGAGAAAGAGAGACAGACAGACAGGGGAAAGGACCAAATTGTGCTAAAAAATATTTGACAACTGCTGATGGTATGATGAGAGCATTTGTCACTGCAACTCACTTGAATGATTGTAAACTGTGGGAGTGAAATGGATGGATGAGTATTCAGATGGAAAAGACTAAGATATAATTATTTGAAAGTGGTGATATTACAAGAAAGTTTAAAAGATTTACTGAACTACGATAAGGATACATGTATAAAAATAAACTAAATGAATGAAATAGGATATCTGAATGAAACAACTGGGTGTAAGAGGATGGGGTAGACTCCTCTAAACTTGGATGGTAGAGAAGTGAGAAGTTAACTAAGAAAAAAATGCAAAAATTCTTAAAGAGTCTTCGTAAACAACTGGGGAAGATGTGTACTGAAGGATACAACTGAGTGACTAGACAATTTTGGCAAAAAAATGTTTAAGTAATTTTTGACGATCTAGAATGAGAATGAGATTTACATTATTGTTTCATTTGCACTAATAATGTAAATGGAGCATAAAAGATCACCAGGTCCTTTATAATTTGCAATGACACAAAATTCATCCTTTCTCGCACTTACCAATGAATCACACGCCCACACATACACCCACGCGCGCACCTACGGTCATACAGAACTCTTCCATTACCATTATATGTTAATGATGGCTAACAGCAAACAACAAATAAGTAATGTATACAAGAAAAACATGAATACAATCCGATAAGATTGACCGACAGCAAAATACTACCCAAAAATGAGGTGTACACGAACAACACTAATACAACACTATAAACGAGTTCTGAGTATTACAATTTAGTCTTTAATTCATCCCATATATTAATCTAAAACTCAACAAATAGCTTTCAGCATCAGCATTTTAGCTTTTCCTTGTCTTCTATAAGTAATTAAAAAGAGACTAAAACCTTTATAATCTCATTGCCTATACTTGTGGAGCAGCAATCATTCAGAACTGGTAGCCAGTCAGTAAAGGACTTTGGCAGGACTATGAATGAACACATCATGACTTGTATTAAGGTAATAAAATGTATACGTATATCATAGAAATAATCAAATACTACTGTATCACTGCTGGTCCCATATAATGTAATTTCTTATAAATTCAACATCATTGCAATTAATTAGTAAACCATTTTCTATAAAATTATATCCTATTTACAGTATTTTCCTTAAAATAAATACAAGGTTACAGTATAAATAAGATCTAAGAATACAAGATTCGATATAAATGCGAAGATCTGTGTTAGTAACCAAACTACTACTCTAGGTTACACTACATATAAAACAGTTTGTTACAGTTCTACTCTAGCTACTGTACCACCAACCATACACTTTCTTAATATTACTTACATGGGCATCAATCACTGGGGATGGGGGATGTCTTCCCCACTTCCTGTGGAAGGTTAACAAAATTTTGCAAATCTTTCTACTTTTCTGCTTGTACAGTATTTATACATGGTCATATAGCTATGTTACCAAGGATAACACAGCAATTATTTAATATAAAGACACAATTATTATATGTAACACACATTTTCACTTACAGATCAAAACCATCTGTTAATGAATTTGGGGCAGCTTTAAAATGTACTGTACAGAAAAAACCTGATCGCTCATGAGTTCAGCACAATGTCATATGTAATTGGTTGTTTTATGGAGCACACAGAACCATAACTTATGATCCATCAGGTCCTCACTGTATTGTGCACGTAATAATAAAAACCCATATTATTCCTAATTCAGAATAACTCCAATCATTCTGGTTCATGTGTGTGCTTGTGTCCCTTCCACATTGAAACCGCAAGTGACACCCATGCTTACAGAGATGAATTTCTAGATTAATCTTGTAATGCTAACACTCAACCCAGATAAAAACACTATAAAACAGCTGGAGGGATCTACTACGGGAAACTTTCAAATGGACCGCTTCATAACAACTTGATGAACTTGACTCTTAACATCTAATTTACCTCTATCTGTAGCAAAGAGAAAACATATCCCATACTAATAACACTAAACACACAAAAATCCAAAACTACTTAAAAGTTTTTGGTTCATAATGATACTTATGATTAAAACAAAGACTTCATTATCTTCTAGCTTTCATGACTATAAATCTTACCAAAGCTTACTTTCATATGCCATCTGCTGGAATAAAATGCCCATGACACATAGTCACAACTTCTATTAATGCATAGACTGTCATCTCTTGTGATACTCCACACTGAAAGCAGCTTGTAGCCATTTAAATGATCCTATTTGATCCTCCTCAGCCAAAATGACCTGCAGACACATGACTGGCATGTTCCTACTGCACAGCTGCTCAAAAGTGACAGGAAGCTGGTTTGTCCTAGACCTAGAGGAAAAGGCATGCACATCTGATCCTCTATATTCAAGTAGCTGCTTTACTACGTATGCTCTATCCTATTACCATGACCTATGACTGATCTTGACCTAACCTAACCTTCAGAGATCTCATTTGGAGTTTTATACGCAACAGGTTAAACCTTTTAACTATTAAGGTTAATTATATATACTGTAAGCAGACTAACAAATTAATAGGTCATGATGCTTTGAAAAATTTTCCCAAAAATACAAATTTGTAAAAATGAGCATTCTGGGGCATAAATCAAAGGAACCCACTCACCCATGGATGTGTTGCTATATGAAATATTGCTGGTTTGTTATTTTCCCCAGTGACATCTCTTCACACTGTTAATAATCAAAGTGCTAGAAGGACCACTACATTACCTTCAACTCCACTCAATGCTTCAATATATTATTCCTCATTTTTCTCATTTGGTTATCCCTTCTATTTAGTTTTTCCTTTTCCTGCCTTCATTTAATTATTTCCTTAAGTATTCATCTAAATGCAAACAATCAGTAAGAACATCACTCATGCCACAGCTCGACCATGTGCAGAAATACAGGTACCGTACTAAGCAAATATATGAGACATTCAATGCCTCTCTGCACTGAGTGGGGGAAAGTAACCATGATGCATAACAAGAAGCATGAGTTTATAACTGAATATTCCATATTTAATATTGAATAATTAATTTATAAATGGAATTTTTTAACTACATAAAACTTCCTACCAGAATATGTAGGGCTCTTGTGCATGTTTCATTAGCATCATAAATTCTCACAAATATCACTGTTTACCATAAATTTTTGAAGCATTTACTGTATTCCTATTGCTACTCTACTATACCTGATACTCATCATGACATTACTATGGTACTGGGCAAATGTAACCCTCCATTTTTTTACAGAAAATCTACGTCTTCTTGGTATTATTTAGTTGGTTTATACTTTACTTATTTAATGCAACAAATGGCAGAATTCTTCATCAATTATTTCAAGTGAATCTCAAAATTATTTGATCCTTGGACATGTGGAAAACTATGCCCAGAAATCATAATCAAGAAGAATATACTTAAAAAAAATTTTCACATGGAATTTAAAGTTTTATTCATTCTGTATCATGTACACCATATACTGTACAGTACTGTACCACCATCAAAATTTCCTGGCATCCTACTCTGGGACAGGTTGGCTACCAACTCAAGGACTCAGTTAAAGAACAGCAATAAAACTTTAGCAAATCCAAACTATAAAACAACTCTTGTTTATATTAGATCCCAAGTCTAAGAGTTTTAAGCTGCTCCTGAGATAAGAAATTTATCAAAATTCTATTTCCTACAAATTACCTTCTTATTTTTGTTCTAATATCATTCCTCTACATAAAATTATTTTATGTGCTTCTACTCTTGTGGCTCTTCCCTGTAGCCATCACTTGCTCTTCCTTTGCCCACCATGTCCAGCACAGCACGAGCATCAGGATTTGCATCCAAAGCACTTTTCTTTTTTCGAGTTCCCTCCTAAAGAGAAAGAGAGAAATAATAAACTAAATACTGTACTGTATAAAAAATCACATGAAATGGGTCACAATTAACTAGAAATTACACACAGTACATATAGCCTAGATCCAACAACAGGAAGAAAATTACTGTACTGTATACAGAAATAATAAAAATAATTCAACCACTGTATTCCATACTATTTTTACTTGAATATCTACCTCTTCATCAGAGTCTTCCTCCTCAGGTCCAAGTGCCCAGACTTCTACACTACGCACTTCTAACTCCGGGTGTGGGGACAGCGGGGGGCTGCAGAACGTGCTACATGAGGGCGCCACCGTCCCTTTACCAAAGTCATAGTCAAGCCAAAATCCAAATAACTCCTCTCGGCCGCCCATGCCCTGTGGAGAAGTCACATAATCTCGGACAACTCATTCAACTTGTGTAATAATCTATGTCAAAGAAAGACTATTGAAGACCAATGCAGCCAAGCCGGAACTGTTTACAGCAGGACTGAAAATAATTTAAACTTAGAACCAGTTAACGTTACGTAAAAATTTTAAGCACCCTAATGAAGACATGCCATATCTTTCTATCACCAGAGGGTGGTAACCATCCCATCAACAGGTAACTTATAGTTTCCTGTACTACTTAGAAATAATGATAATGACTCCATAATACTGTATGACAAGTTTAGGATGGGACAAAGGCAGCATCTCTTCTTTTTCTCCCCCATACACTCCCTGTTTATTAATGGCAGGAATATGATGTACATTACTTCTTATCTCAACCAAGCATACAACCTCTTATTATTATAATTCTGTCCTAAAGCTCACCCCAAGGGAGGGATCATCACCCCTCCTCACATGCCAAGCTTGACAATGATAAGCCCAGTCATGGAAGCAGTAACTTCAATCACATATGGAGTGGATAAATTTAGAGAAACAATTACGTGCATTTCAGACAGATTATAATACTGTACCTAAAATTATGAAAGTAAATTAAGAGACAATATCTTGAATAAATGAATAAAGGAAAAGACTGGACTACCGATGGATTTAATAGTACTGTACTCTGAATAAAAATAATTCGAACAATAACTCTGAATCTTAAATAGTCCAGGACGATACAGTACCACTCTCTTGGGGAACTCTTAAGATACACCCATACAACACCAAACCCAAAAGCCTGCATATAGCTAATATCTCATTATTCTTACATCTCTCATTCTCATAAGTGAGGCAGATCAAGGGGTACAGAAACCTCAATGAGGAGAGGAAATAACTGAAAAAAAGAGAGAAGGATAAAACAGAAATATCCATATGTGATATCCCCGTTAACCAGAACAATTGGTGAAGAGCACTTCCGTGAATGATAGATTTCCGGGTACTGAGAAAAGTTTCTCAGAATTTTCCAGAATGACGCATTATTTCATCCTCGGAATTTTTGTCCAGACCACAAAAAAAGAAGAGTTTCCATTATTTTCCCAGAAAATGTGCATGATTTTTAACCTCAGAAAATAGTTCCCAGACATGGAATTGATAGAAATTTTCTGGAAAAATTCCAAGCAAATTTAAATTCTGGCTAATGGAGATATGTCATATATATTTGCTCATATTCTGAAAATACATATGCAGTAATCAGTGCAAATATATACATTTATATTTACTCACAACACTTTGCATAAATTCAATATTCATACACAGTTCATTACACCATACATTCTAATTTAAAATCTATTAACTGATAAACATTAAGAAAAAAGGTTAATTAATTTTCAGAGGTCAGTGTTGACTTTTCTTTAAATTCTGAAAAAATTTCAACTTTCCAACACTTATAAAACTTCTTAAATAAATTCTTAAAATAAGTTCTGAAGAGATGAAAAATAGATTGAAGTACAAGATGGCCGTAGAAAAACTATGGTTGCTGGTGCTGTGACGCAAAGAACAAATGTCAACAAAACATGCCACTATGAACAAACACACCAGGTTATAAAAAAAAATGGCTCAATGATTCAGTATTAGATATTAAATGATGATAAGACTAATACTAACTATTTACACTAGTTTGGCCTACATAGTGAGCTAACAACACTCTAAAATGAAGAAAATAATAATAATAATAAAGTCAATATCTTTTACAGTATCTACAAGCATAACTTTGCATTTTTTCTTACTTTTTGCAAAACTTCAAGACCAACTGTTCACACTGGTGAAAATTTTCAATGAGCATTTAACTGGTGTGTAAAGAACCAATAAGTATCTTAATCCCACCTGTATTTCACAACAACTCTATTTAACATGTACTGTACTGTATAGGTTGCCTCGTGTATGCTGGGGGTTGTATTCCTAGAGAAGACCGGTAAGATATAACAAAAACTGAGAACAACAAACAAGTCTATCCAACTTCGTGTAATTTCCTAAAGATAAAAAGAGTAGACTATTTATTATAAATTTATAATGGTGCAATGTATATAGTAATTCCAAAAAGTGTCTTAACGATTTTGTGTGAAACAATATGACACAATGGACGAAGGATTTTGACAACCCTACAGAGACAACAGGAGCCGCAGTGTTCATTTTGAAATTCATCAGACCCCTCCGTAAAGATTCCTTTTGGAGTGACTGTACAACCATGTACCGTCTGTGCCAACCTTGGCTCAGTATAAATGGAAATTGAGAAATAAAAAGTAATACCCGGTATGTATGCATGCAAATGAGGGCAACCTGTACAGCACTGTCACTTGTGCATTTGGCAGCTCAGCAATGTGATAAAGATAGAGTTAACTTATCTGAGATGATGGCACAACTCACACTTATAGTATGTATCAGTGTGACCAGAGAATCATAAACTGGGTTTTCAATTCATATTCAACTGGCAAGGCAAATATTCAAAATAGCTAGGAAAGCATGCACCTCCCTGGAAAATTGTAAAAAAATTTATTCTCTAAGAAACACACAAAGAGGCCTTTTCGCGGCCTAAACAAAGGAAATGTTTCACAACACTCAAAGTTAATAGAACTAATATGTGAGAGAAAATAATAAAAAAGATTGAGTGATTTATCAATGATGGAAATTTACCTGGCTAGCAGCATCTAGTGAGAACCTTGCATGAAGGAAAAATAAAATTTATCCCTCTGTTGTACTTCCATGGATAACTGAAGCAATACCATTTTATCAAGTATCATTTCTGCCGTACAGCAAGATGGCCCTTAAAATATCTACAAATAAAATAACACCAACACACATCTGTACCTCACATCTACATGACTCCTTTTTTTAAAGTCTTCCTTCTTGTTTTCCTCTTAATTTTTCTGTTTCAATAAAATTCAGTCATTTTAAAATTTATCTTCATTTAAAAGAAAAAAGGTGGTAATATATTCATTTAATAACAGCTGACGAACCTACCAGTCCATTAGGCATAGTATTCTTCTCCAAGTAGTTGAGGTACATAAAGTTGCTATTGTATCCTGTGCTGCGGAATATCCCAGCCTGAGGCTCCAGGGCAAACAAGAAGCATTCTGGTGTACCTACGGAATAAAGACTTAATAAATACACAGTAATAATATTACAGAATAAAGCAACATGAAAACTTCTACATGTGCCGGTAAATACAGTATCTAGTAAAATGTCAAAATAATTTTTTGGGGGGAATCTCAGGAATACTATTTCACATTCATGAAAGGAGATTACAAAAAAACGTATTAGCATATGATGGCTTTGTTGGCTATTTTCAGTTGATTTGACCTCCCGTTTACCACAGTTTCCATACCTACACTGTGTATTTACATTGTATGTATACCTTCACTGTCTACCTGCATTGCCCATAGACAAGCTGAAACAATGTAAACTTGCACAGGTACAAAATATTTACTGAATGCATATCTATCTACAAAATTTTGACAATTTATAATATGAAACATAAAATTGCTAGCACCAGTACAAAAGGTATCCTCACAACATGAATATCAAACATTACTTAAGACCCTTTCATGTTTCAATAGGATCCAGAACCGAGGTTGTCTTGTCCAGTATGAACTTTAAGCTCTGGTACAGTATATCAGAATCCAGTAATATGAAGTCTTACTCTATGTAAATTCATGCAGAGCTTTCAAAAATTAAATTACTAAAACTCTTGTCATGATATACAGAGAGTTAAAGAGAAATTGAAAGCACGAATTGATAAAATAGATCAAATACGGTAAGATCTTCTCACCCTGGAACTGAGGCCTGACTTCCCAGGAGACTGACGCGAAACCTCCAAATTTATTTCTCGACTGGTCCTCCACAACTATGAGTGTGGGACCTTTTGCAACAATCTGAAAGAAATATTTTAGTACTATAAATACATTTGTTACATTTAAAAGAAATTTATTTTATTCACCGAATTCTAAATTTCTTCCAATTCATCATGACGACTGGCTATGTGCACTACCTCATCACTGCTATTTTTCTCTCAGTAACAAATAATATCAGAACTAATGGATAAAAACCTAAATATGTAGTCAGTACTCTATCAAATTTATGATATTTCACCCACCTGCTTCATAAATATACTGAAGCTCCATCCATGTGTAGTTGTAGAAAAGAGGAATCTCCACTCTGACTGTAGGAGTGGTGGCAGGGCATTGTTCAGGTACAGTACTTGACCCGCTGACAGCATGGATGGAAATGTCTGAAAGAGATTCTCCTGAATTATACAGAATTAACACAGACATCCTATTTATTTGTACAGTAGTATTAACTTAAAATACTCTCCATCCTTACTGGGGAATATGTAAAACAATACTCATGTATCTAGAGTGTAGGTTACAGGTTATAGTTAATGAGCTGAAAGCTATTAATAGTCTCATATTATTAACAGTTTCAAAATTAATTAGAATTTTATGCAACTTACACTATTATATAACTCAAGAATCCAAATACAGGTACTGCACAACACAAGCTCAGTGCTGTACCTTCTAGCATAATGCATATCTAATTCAACTGTACGTTAATAATTAAGAAAAAACAATTACTCTGCCCATTTCTGCAGGAATAGAACAGTTTGTTCAGTACCGTAAAAATTCTAAAACCTTCAATAATTAGGTAAGACTACAACACCAATGTGTGAGGTTTACCGAAGGAAGTTGAGAGGCTTGTGGCATGAGCGCTGTGTGGTCAATGGGTGAGAATGAGAAGCAATGTTTGAGAACTTCTGTCTCCAGTGTGGTGAAGACCGAGTGACCCAAACACCATCTCTCAAAGTCATCGTAAGAGAACCGTACCTTGGGAGGTGGTTTGCCCCATGTCTGGTAACAGAAGAATAACATAATAAATTAAATGATCAAAGTGAACATCTCGCTAAAACACTGATGGTTAATATGTCAACAAAATACACTGCCCTACATAATTAAGAGATAATAACTTAGAACAAAGGCACAAATTAACAGACTCTGTACATTGAAAACTTATAAATAACATTCATTATGTGAAGCTTACAGATCCATATACATGTATAATTATAGAAGTCATAATTTTGGGTTTAAACCATTTCACTCTACAGAAAAGCCTACCAATTTTGAAAGATATAGCATCTGTCAATTTGTTAATTATGTACAGTATATTGTTCATTGCACCTAACAAAGTGTACAGTGTTAGTATCATTAATATTTTTTACTCAGATCAAGAACTTGTCTGTCTTATAAACATGCAGCTGAGCCTATGAGATGAACATGGGCCAACAGCTAGGTATGTGTTGGCCTGGCTTATGCTGGCCCTACAAAGCTAAAATTAAGGAATATGGATTAGTGCTGTATTCAGATCAACACAAAAGATAGATTATCTTACCTCTTTAGGACTCCCACCAGAGTACAGTAAATCATGTAACAAGGCTTGAGACACACGTTTCACAGTGTCTGTAGGCCCAGATTTCCACCCTCTGTAGCCTGATTGGCCAGTTATGATTCGAAGGTATGAAGACACAAAAACTTCAGTATACTGTAAAACAAAATTTATCATCATCATCATCATCGTTTTATGGCCATCTTGTTGGAAATAAGCTGTGACATAACTTTTATCACATCAATATGTTCACTTGATCACCTGGCATGAGTGCTAGGTACTGAATTAGGTGCAATAATCTAACTTCTATAGCTTTAATGTGTTAGCAAAAGATATATTTTCAAAAAGTTCCTTTATGTTAGGTTTACTTTACAATAACTTACTTTAATAATACGATTACTATCTATTCCTTCTTGGCCTCCACCAGCTAAGGTGAGGGTCAGAAAAAGGTGTTCTTCCATTGAGCCTTTCAGAAGAGGACCTAAGGTATCCACAACTGTTGAACATGGTAAGGATGGAATATTTCTGCCTTTGGCCAAAATCCTTAAAAACTTTTTGGCTGTTTCTGGATTCAGTCGACTGGAGATATGTTTCTGAAAATTAAACACTCATTAGTAAAGCAATCTAATACAATATTACATGTCTTTAGAATTTCAAACTTCTTAAGAGGAAATTACTTACCGTATACTGTACCGGGGTATTTATGAAAATCAATAAATTCATACTGTAGTTACATAGATTATATTGCAGGTGACAAACATACACAAAAGCAGTCTTCTCTGAAGCATACAGTACATTTCCCAAATGGGTCTATTTTACTAGAGAATTATGTAATAAGTTAATTAGTAATACAGCCTGGTCTGACATGGGATATTCCTATGCATACAATTTATACATTACCTCTAATGAAGTAAGAGCCACAGCATCACCTCCTTTAGCAAGCTTTTGCATAGTGTTTAGAACACGCTGTCGCTCTTCCTTAGTAAAGTACTCCTTTCGTATGATGATATTCTTGCTGCCTTCTACCCCCATCTTTCATAAATCTATGTTACAATGCACAAGGATACCTGGAAAAAATAAAACACGGTTGAATGATAAGATGAAGCTACACCAATAATGGGAGAAGCATTTAGGTACAATACAAGTACTGTATAGCTTGGTGGAAGTAATGCTTCCCAGTTGTGTTGTCCTTTCCACGCACACAAACACTTCCAGTGAAGGTTATTACAGTACATGGTACAGTATCTATTTTGCTTTATCATAGGCTAGATAGATTTAATAAGTAAAGAAAAAATTACTGTACTGTACTGACAATCTAACCAATCTAATAACCTATAATGCAGTTATAATCTTCTATCAGAGTATCACCACCAATTTAAAAAGTTCCTCGTCCCACAAGTGTTCCGGTGGATAAAACAAAACGTCCCAGATGTAAACAACAAATTGATGGCATCATTGTGTGCTCCATGATGTGCATGTGTGGGAAGGAATAAATTGTATGCTGTATCAGTATGGTAATATTAAACCCTTGTGTACAAGATCTCTCTGTTCTGAAAAAAAATTGTCTGATATTGGACAAAAAAAATATTGAAATTGGCATCTTTGTAGTGAGAGGACAAGGGTCAAGGTTGGGTTAGGTTAGGTAAGGTTAGGTTTGTATGGAAAGTCTGCATGTTGCTAAGTCAGTGTATACTGCATTTGGGTTTTATATTACTTTCGCACATAGCACACCCCAACGTTGTAAGCTACTGAAACATTTAGATCTCCCTATTCTGAGCATTTTGAACACCATTTTTACCATTAAGAAATGGAAAACGGCGACACAATTTAATTTAATTGATTTTATGTACTTTTCAGTCTTCGTCTCTGTGAAGAGATGTTATCTGCATGAAACCGAGTTAATTATGAGTGTGTTTACATCACGCATGTGCAATGTTGACCGATGTCATCCAGTTGCGACCAATGATGTATCGATCTCATCACGCTATTTTTTTTTACCAATCACATTTGAATTTTTTCAAAGGGAGCAGCCTGGGTACAGATTTGAATTTCAATCACCAGTGTGACAATGGCCGTGGTGGAGGTTGGGTGTGATTCGTGATCCCTGGCTTGGGATTAGGTAAGGTTAAGTTAAGTGGTTAGTTTAGGTACAGTAGGTTAGGTCAGACGACTCATTTTCGTGCTCTACCCCAGTAAGAACCACGGTTTTCCAGGCTCTCCCCCCCCCCATTATTGTTGGGGTGGGGCAAAAACTTGCAATTTCCAACAAAAATAAAGGTCAGAATCACTTAAAACACACCAAAATACACTGGAAAAACATATTGGTCAACCACTAGGGACTCATCTCCGAAAGTAAAAATGGCATCAGTTGTGAAAATTCCTAGTCACAGCAACACATTTATTTATGGGAAAAACTTGGGAAAAGGCCCAAATAATTAAAGTGATATTTTCCCACCCAATTTGGTTTAATTTTAGGTAAGAAAAAAATTTCTTCCATAGATATTTTTCATTTGGTGGCTGGGTATTGTGTGAAATGTATTCCTTCTCATTTTGGGGAGGCTCTTCTTGGGGTAAAAAGCATTTTCTTCCATATAATACTAAAGTTGCTGGTTAAGAGGCACAACTTCCATCAAGTATTACCCTTTACTCCTTTACAACAAGTCATCAGAATAGTTACCTTAGCTACACGAGTAATACAAAGTGTAACCCAAACTAAAGACCCCATGACAGAAATACCACACAAGTAACAGAACTAAATAGAACATTAAACGCCTCTTTCAGAAAATCAATTTGTAGATATAATAAATGTTTACTATCAGCCTCTGTCATTAATAAACATTAGCTTAAAACTCGCAGCCAGTTCCTATAATTCACATGACCGTTTGTGCCTGGTGGAGTTAACTCACCACTCCAGTAATACAAGATCCGCACACAACCCTGAATTTGCTGTGAAATTTGTGTATATAGAAATTCGGGAATACTTTCTGTGTTAATCAATAGACTAGACAGTGAAAATAGGCTATGAAATGTGGACTTACGTCTGTAGATTATAGAAATCGCAAAAATGGCCAGAATTCCTCGGCGATGGAGTAAAATTGACAGGAGAACATTTGCGTCTGCGGCTTGACAAAAATCAGCTGATCGCATTCGAGTTTACAAACATATACAGCATTTACAAATATTATAACCAAATAGTCTTTATTTAATTTATGAAGCAAAATTAATTTAATGTAACACAGAAGTTATTTTTATATTATATAGCAGATTAAAATAATTTTATTAAATCTCAACGAATTTACCGATTCTTGTGTTTTTATTTTACAATTCACTTTTTACGTAATAATATATGGTATTACTAAATTAAATAAATAAATAAAAAGCTTTCATGTAGCTGGTCCCAAAACAGTGTGGTTGTGTGCTCTTTTTCCAGTAAATGTGAACTATTGGAACACATGAAGACTAGGCACCCTACACCCACTGCCTATGGTCTCTATTCGTCCTGTGATCCCAAAAGAATGCACAGTAAAGTTATCAAAGTAGTATGATTAAAAAAATACAGAAAAATGCGCAATAAATTTTCAAAATGAATGTACAGTACAATATAAAATGACACACACACACACACCCCCACATACTGTTATCTTCTTCGCCACTGATCGGCTCCACAGATATTATCTTTATTATAAGTATTTAAATTAGGCGAAAATGTTTTATTTTAGTTAGAAGTATATGTATTTTACTGCATATCTACGATCATAAATCACCTGCAGCGGGCAGGGCATGAAGGATGAGGGAAAATGCGTGGTAAAACACGGTGGAAAACTGATCATATGATATCAGAATAATCGTCTCTACGTGATTTGCACTTGAACAATTTAATTATTTACCATAAATACTCATACGCAAATATCTGCCAAGTCACCGCCCAAGCGGTGGCGAAGTGGATATCTGTTTACAACGGACCCGCTCAATTGTTGCACAAAAAATGTAAAATTACACCCTGATGCCTCAACAAGTTACTTTCATGAGTACAAGATATATAAGCAAGTACTTTGCTTAATATGGCGGAGGGTCCGTCCGTCCGTCTAGGAAGTTAGGTAGGTTTCTTTGGTTGGTTAGGTCAAGTTCTATTAGGTTCCAGTAAATGTCGCCTCTTAAAATACTAACTATAATAATAAAAGCACCTGTGGAAAAAACTAACTTCAGGCGAGTGCTGTTCTCCCACATTGCCAGTTATCCATCAACACAACGAATACAGTATATGGAAACAAAAAACGAATGCATTAAAGAAAATGGTAGCACATGTTGGATGAGCTACTCAAGATGAACCTCTTAGTATGTTTACTCGTAATATAGTTTGTGTAAATATATTTTATTCCAAGGAAAGATATATTGCCGATAACCACTACTCGAACACAAAAAACTCCGTTATAACAGTATCTCATGACCTGGCCGAGACAAATGTTTTTTTGTCTTTTTCAGTACATAAATGATTTTCGTTATTAATGGTTACGATAAATGTTCTACAATCGTCAAACACAATGTGACTATTTTCCAGATTATAGAGGATAAGCAGTTTGTATTAATTATGAGTTTATGTACTCGTATCGACAAAATATCTAATTTAAAAAATACTATTTTTTTTTACATCTTTTCAAAAAGGTTGGCCCGACAATTTTCTGAATTCGGTGTTTTAACTTTAGGCGGTGACCTCAGGGGGTCTCCAATAGCTCCAGATATGAACACTAGACAGTAATGTCCTTAGAGGAGTTTGTAAACTTCAATTAAGTCATCCCTTGCCCGCCATTGGTGCAAGCTAGGCAACTGCAGGCGTTCTAATCTCTGGGTAACTGGACTCTGAAGGCCTCGCCTCTGGACATTTTCAATCAACTGACGTCTCTAGTATATCTCGTGAACCAGACGGGTTGACAAGTACGCCAGGCGGGAAAAACGAATTTAGGAACTTGGCTATTCCTACAGTCCTTCAGAAGTTTGCGTGATGTAAGATATAAGGTTTCTTCTAAGGAGTTTTTCCTCTGCTTGTTCTAATTTTCTCACGGCTCCCAAACTGACATGCTGACATACGTCATAAAATTTATTTAGAAATAAAATAAATACACGAAAATAAACGGATAATGAACAAAAAAAAATAAACAGAGCAAATAAACATTAACAAATTAACAAATGAATCACTTAATATGAAACTAGTGAACAAAATGAGTGAGAAAACTATTATAGAAAACTTAAGCTTTACATATATACATCATTCACATGTTAAACAATTTGAATACTTACATTCTTTAATAACAAATTAAAAATCATGTTGACATTGAACATTTCAAATTTATAAAACAAGGTAAAATGTTTAACAATATAAACTAGCACTAATCTTTCTGAAACATTTTGAATTTTTACCAACATTCATAAATTTAATAAAACTTTCAAGGTAATTTATCTAAAAGTTTACACCATCAAAAAACTACAAGTTAAAAGTATAACTCGCAATAAAGTAATGTTTAATGACAACCGTAGTTAAGGCAGATTATATACTATGGTTTAAACCGACATGTCAAACTACTTAGCCGTTTTGATGTATTAATCCTGAGTAAACAAACACCTGTCGAGGCAAAGTCAACTACCAGAACATCTGAGGTGACTAAGGTTTTGAGGGTTAACACCTGTCAATATTTTGGGGGTAACAATTGTGTTATTTAGGGGGATAACACCTGTAACTCATTTAGGGGGATAACACCTGCAACTCATTTAGGGGGATAACACCTGCAACTCATTTAGGGGGATAACACCTGTAACTCATTTAGTGTTGCCATTTTTAGGGTCTTCCTCCATACACTCGATAAAAACAACAGTGTGGTTATTGGCTGGATCTGAGGGGCGACTCCGGCTGAAGAGGAGCTCCTTATACACATTGCCAGACAAGAGAGACCTCGACGCCTGGCTCACCATACGGAGATCAAGATTTCTGGCCTCTGTGACGCTCGCCTTGTAGTACTGCAGCTGTAGACACACCAGGTGGGAGAACCTCGTCTGCCACATCTCGTACAGGTAGGTGAACCAAGTACCATTCAGCCGCACCATCAGATACCCCACAGGTCGCCTCTCTGGTATCCTGTAAAGATGAGGAGGGTGAAAGGGAAGCTTCGAGAGATACAGACGAAAACTAAAAAAGATAAACACACTTATACTGGTACCATACACTTACTTGAGAACATCTTCAGTCACTAGGATGGCCGGGGAGAGAGCGAGGCAGTGCTGTTCATCTTCACCTTCAGAACAGTCCTCCTTACTGTCACACATCACATCCACCGACACGCATGATGGAGGATGCGATCTAACCACACGAGGACAACACCGATTAGTTATGTATGCTCAGATTCCTTCGTTTATTATCTATTTAAGGTCATGGTGTTTAATCTTTAAGTTAAGATATACACGAGGGTAATTTTGAACATGATAGCTTGATCTTAGACGAATTGTGAACCTTCCCATTCCCTCACCTGAACCTTCCCACTCACTCACCTGTAGCACCTGAACCAGTCCTTGGCAGGTTCACACCCACAGGACGCCTCGTCACTCTGATCAGCACAATCCACGTGGCCGTCACACACCTTGACTGGATCGCTCCCTATCAGGTGCTGGAGAGATAAGATACAGTGTACTTTAGAGAGAGAGAGAGAGAGAGACGCGAAAGGACGAGAGAGACGGAGGGGGAAACTCACCCTACAGCACACACAGTTGGTCTCGTCAGCAGCATCAGGCTCTCCGTCACAGATCTTATGGGCGGGAATACACGCTCCGTCCCCGCATGGCACTCCTCCCTTGGGGCATACTGGGGGGGAGGGAAGGAGGTTAGAGAGTCACGTTAGATATACTCCAAGGAATATCCCCAGAGAAAGAAATACCCACAAGGCCCCAAGAGATATACGAGTATATTTCATTAACTGTATCCCAATCCACGAGACCCCAGAGATATTTTAGGGAAAGAATGACAGACATACACTCACCACACAGTCCTTCCTCTTCGCTTGGCTGGCACATGGTCAAGGGGTTGGGGCAGTTTGGAGGCTCATCCGTCAGGTCAGGGCAGCTCAGCTCAGCATCACACATCCCCTCCTGACCCACACACAACCCCGTCACACACCTGACCCCGACACACTTGGCCGTCTCACCAGGTGTGTAGCTCTCTGTAGGGGGGACGGGAGAGTGAGGTATACGACAGGTGTGTGATGGATACTAGTCTGGCACAATAGGCTCTGTCCCCTCACCCTATACCCGTGGCCCCCATCATACTCGACAGACCCTCTATTCACCCTAGTCAACAAACGCCTGACCTCCCCCCCCCTCACCCTACACACTTACCAACCAGCTTCCTTATCCCATATATTATGTCCTCAGTAAACAATGGATGGCGGGCGTGATGGGCGACAGTGCAGTTGTCCACCGGCTCCTCGTACGCCCACATACCCACGCCCACCCACGTCGGATTGATCCCCTCGGTGAATTGACAGGCTATCACCCCCGCCCACGATCTCTGTATGGGCGTCAGAAGAGATACATCAAAAGATGGGTTTTTGTATTAATATTTGGTCATAAAAGTTATATCATCAACACAACACCACCACAATCACCACACAACCCACACCACTACCACCGCACCACCTCACCATACAGGGAAGATTATCGTCCTCATAATCCAGGGGACAGAAGTGGTGGTCGGGACAGTCTTGAGCATTACTAAAGGCGACGCCGTAAGTGAGTCGGTCCCGGTACCTCCCTGCTACACTACACCTACTGCCACTCTTCAGGTTCGTCATCCCTCTGTTGGGAAGATGAGGGATTTTTAGTGAGGGGGAGGAGGAGGAGGGAACTTACACGACGAGGGAGACAAAACACTCGATGGGGAGTATAGACAACGGGAGGACACACACACTTACTCGGTGGGGAGACAGAGGTGGTTGATATAAGGCGTCTTGGGCATCCTATCCTCCAGTCTCAGCACCATGATGTACGTGTTGGTCACCTGCTGTAGGTAAATCACGCGGCGGTCGTGTTCGTGTCCGGTCCATAGTCTGGTAGGCCATCCTACCTCCCTCCAGGACCCCATCACCACAGATACTGACGACGATGACAAGCTGATAGGGAGAGAGTGAGATTGAGTAGAGAGTAGGAGAAAGGGGAGGGCGAGAGGAGGGGAGGGCGAGAGGAGGGGAGGGCGAGAGGAGGGAGGGCGAGAGGAGGGGAGGAGGGCGAGAGGAGGGGAGGGGAGGGCGAGAGGAGAGGGAGGGGAAGAAAGTGGGAATGGGAGAGAAGAGTGTACAGTGTAAGGACAGAAGTAGAGTTTGACAGTCTATCAAAGACCCACTGAATTCAGGATGATCCATAAAGTGTTTCATTTGGTTCCAAGGAATTAACATTTACTTTCAACCCATTCAATGAAGACCTCTCTGACCCTCTTCATGTAGGCGTGAGAGGTGAGGGAAACCTACTTGACCCCCTTCATGCAGGTGCTGGAGGTAAGGACCCAATAAGGATGGACGAGTGTGGAGCCGCAGGTGTAGACGCCATCCACGTACACACTACCAGCCCAGGGCACACCACCTTGCATCCAGACGGGGGTGTTTTTGTCCAAGTAGTAGAGGGGGACCTTCCCACACGCCTCCTGCTCGCAGCTCAACTTCACCTGCAAGGGGAAGAGGAGGCAAGTTGGTGACACACATTCACCTCCCCACACACACACACACACACCTACCGACACAAACACCTGCCTGCTAACACACATACTCGCCTGCCGACACACCCGACACTCACCTGCCGACAAACTCTTCGCCTGGGTCTCTCTGATAATTTCCCCAAGTCCCTCAAGAACTCCAGCTCTCCGGGGTTGTCGCTGCTGTTATCATCCAGGTATTTCTTCAGTTGCATCGGCCAACTGTTCCTACTACTGTTCTGGTCACTTAGGGACCTCCTGTGGGGCGCCTTAGTTTGCCCCAAGTCTCGGAAGTTGGTAACATTTCTGTGAACATTTTTGACTCTCACGGCACTGAAGGACCGAGGTGCTTCCTGTTCGTTATTGGTTGCTTCAGTGTACGTCAGGCTGGCCAATTTGCTGCAAGAAGACCCCAGTGTAAACAACTTTTAAATTGAACTTCGGTTATTTATGTCTACCTATTGTTTGTATACCTCCATTGTTTATACTCTACACGGTCTATACCTAACCTAACCATATACCAAACCTAACCTAACCTGGCCTAACTCTAAACCTAACCTAACCCTATCTGATCGTGTAAAGGTGTTTAATCATCAGGTGAAATAAAGTTAGGGGACTAAAATTCATGTGACCTAACATTAAAAAACTAAACACATCCAATAACCTCAACTAAACAAACCTAACCTAACCATAAAAGTCCTTCCCTCACCAAGTCCAGTACACGTTGCCTCACCTATAGCCCAGGTAACTACACACTCGGGGGCCAATCTCATCAGGTACTTTGTCGATACAGAGTGAGTTCCAGGTGGCGCCAGACTTGAGAATCAGTGTGCCTTCTGACCGAGACTCGAGCTGACCGAACTTGTCGTAATCTAACACTCCTGGCTCACGCTGGAGTCCAACTGTGGGGTAGAGAGGGTGAGAAGGAGAGTGGAGGATTGTGAAAGTAGGTGATAGGAAGGGATAGTGGGTGAGGGAGAGGGTGGATGAGAGAGGAGGAAGGATGGTGGGTGATGAAGAGGGTAGGAGAATGAAAGGGAGGAAGGGCAGCAAAGTGAGAGGATTATCATCCCCACTCATCACCACCACCTTTAGTTATCAAAATGAATCCCCAAATTATCTTCAGCATTAAGCATATGAAGAAAATTAAACCACAAAAACACACCTTCAGCATCTATCTAATTAACGAAACCACAGGCAAGACAGGTAAGAGGAGGACAGGTAAGAGGAGGACAGGTAAGAGGAGGACAGGTAAGAGGAGGACAGGTGTATATACTCACTACACGTCAGTTCATCCTCGCCATATCGACAGTCGGGCTTCGTATCACACACCAGGTCGTAAGGGATACAGCTGCGGCTCCTCGGACACAGAAAGTGTCCCCTGCAGAGATCTGTAGGAGGCATGGAGCTAGTTACAATGGAGTCCTTTAAGTGTGGTAGAGGGGGAAGGTTTAAGTGTGGTAGAGGGGGAAGGTTTAAGTGTGGTAGAGGGGGAAGGTTTAAGTGTGGTAGAGGGGGGATTAGAAGAGGTAGTAGGAGGATCATAAGAATGGGAGTCACTTGAGTATGGTAGGGTCGTCTTTTTAAAGTCTGATTTACGAGAAATCTTGCCTGCCTGACTGACTTGACTGATTGACCTCACTTACCACAACGCTCGTCGCTTAAGTCAAAACAGTCGTAATAGCCGTCACAATCGAGGTCCTCCCGAAAGTTAATGAGACGATCGTAACAAGAGCATCCAATCTCATCCGTTCCGTCGCGACAGTGGCGGATCCCATCACACACCACATCCCAGGGTAAACACTGAGGCATGCTGGGGAGGGAAGAAGGGAGGGAGGGAAGAAGGGAGGGAGGGAAGAAGGGAGGGAAGAAAGGAGGGAGGGAGGGAGGGAGGGAGGGAGAAATACTATTAAGTAAACTAGGCAAGGTTATTCTAGTAAACTAAGCACGTAAACTATGCAATTAATCAAGTAAATGATACAAATGTACTAAACACGTACACCAAACAAGTGAAGTATGAATGTAAACTCGAGTAAACTAACTAAACAAGGATCAACAAACATTAACCTCCATTATATAACGCAACCCCCACAATATACCGGAGACTAATTAACACTTACTCTAAACAGGTGAATTCTTCCTTCGAACAATGTACCTCTTGACCAGGTAACTTAATTGGGATGCCAGAATTACTACAGTTAGGACTTCCTTTGTAACTCCTGCTGTACCCGGGTCCTACAGCAGGAGTGGGCGTCCCTGAGACCTGTTCCTCCTCTTCAGATAGTTGGGAGGAATTGACATGAGGTTCCTTGGATATATTTGACCTCGAAACGAATTCCTGTGAGGTGACGAAGTTGCTTGAGTCAGTAGAGGTCTTTAGGTTATCTGGGGTTAAGGCTGTTTCTACCGTCAGATAATTGTCGTCGTCTTCGATGACAGCCACGTAATTCGCTATCGTATCCGTGACGTAATTGTCATCATCCGTGATGTAATAGGCATCATCCGTGACGTAATAGGCATCATCCGTGACGTAATTGGCATCATCCGTGACGTAATTGGCATCATCCGTGTATACGTACTCTGTCTCGTCTGTAGTGGAGTCGGTACACAGGTGAGGGTTCTTCGTGCAGTCGATCCCGGTCTCGCCAAAATGTTGATTGTACTCTGGACAGGAGATCTCGTCCTCTGTATCGTAACACTCGACCTGCAGTACGAGAACACACACAGAGAGAGAGAGAGAGAGAGAGAGAGAAAACAGAACCTGAAAATCTCTTAAGTACTAAATTCAATACCAATTTGAAGAAAACAAATTACTGTACTGTATTTAAAAAGATAATTGGCAAGGAGAGAGACTTATAGACAAGGTAGTACAGTAAACTTACCATGCCGTCACACATTCTAGTGCGGGGTATACAGGAGCCTATCTTGAGGTAACAGAAGAGGCCCTTACAGTTGGTGGGCTGAGAGTGTGTTGGGAGGTTGGCCACGTCCTTCATGGTGTCTGTCAGGAGGAAGGAGGTTTTTATTATCTGGCCAGTGGCATCATGTACAGCTGTGTGTGTGTCTGCATGGCTGTGTGTCTGTACGGGTGAATGTTCGTGTGTACGTAAGTGTGTATATGTGTGTGTACGCTCGTGTGTGTTTGTAACGAGTACTATGCTCAGGTGACAGGTAACTAACTACCCTAAATAATCAAGTGACAGGTAATTTGACTCGCCTAATCAATCACATGACAGGTACTTTGACTAACCCAAGCCAAGCCAAGCCAACAACCTAACCTAACCAATTAAGCAGGCCGGCAGGTCCAGGACTCACCTAGCTTCTCTTGTATCCACGGGAGGTAGTAAGACACACGGGTGTAGACGCCGGGTGCTTCCGCTCTTGCACAGCCACTCACCCCGAAGGACACCACACCTGACTGTACCCACTTACCGTACCTGCCAGGGGAGAACCAGGTGAGTTAGCTATAGGTAGGGGGGAGAGGGGGAGAGAGAGGGGGAGAGAGAGTGTGTGTGTGTGTGTGTGACAGAAAAACAAGAAACAGTCATATAGAAACAAAAAGACAGACGAAACATAAAAAGAAAGAACGAGGAGGAGGAAGAGAGGAAGAAACAAACAAAAACATGCAAAAAAACGAAACGAAACTAAGAGGAAAAAACACAAATAATAACAAAATCTTACTCTAAACACATCAATGGTCCACCAGAATCCCCATTACAGGAATCCAGTTCTCCCCAGGGGTAGCCAGCACAAAATGCCTGGTCCTCCTGTACCTGTGCTACGGGTGGGCAGGCGTCCATGGCGGGTACTGTCACCTGTCGTAGGTATTCAGCTGGGGGAGACAGGTGAAGACAGGTGTTATTCCGAGATAATGGGCGATGGGGGAGGTGAAAGCAGGTGTTATTAGGAGTTAGGGGAGGGAAGACAGGTGTTAAGATGGAACTAGGAGAAAAAAAAAAGAGTAGACATGTGTCGTTCTGGAGTGATAATGGAAATAATAATGACTGGATGAAAGTGACAACAGTGACATATACTCAGGTACTAATCAAGGTAACAGTCAGGTACTCACAGGCGTCACCTCCCTCACTGATGGCGCCCCAACCAGCCACAGTGCACAGTGCTCCACCGCTTGGGAGCTGCAGGTCGTTGGATAAACACACGGGTCTTACCCACCTGTCGAGGAGGCACAGATAACTAGTTAATCACACGCAGGTAATTGGCTTTGAAGGGGAAGAGGAGTCAAAATACCTGTTAAGCTCTACCTGTAAGTGCTAGAAATAATCAAGCGACACTCCTTACCTGTTGAGCTGGATGGGTTTGAGGAGCTTGCCGAGGGCTATGTCGTTATAGAGGTGTTTGTTGTAGTAACTCTCGTGGGTGAAAACGTGGGCTACTATGGCTGTCTGCTCGAAGGGTGACCAAGAGCCACGGCGCACCATCCCTACCTGAATCTCGAACAGGTCTGACCAGTGGCTGAGGGAGGGGACAAGGCAGTAATTAATTAAAAAGGTGAAGATACAGGTGATTGGGGATATAGTGAGACGGGAGAAGAAGTGATCAGATTACCACAGTTGGACGACCCTCCCCTTCCATTCCCTCTACTACTCCTTTACCATCACTTCCTGTCCCTCTTCCATTTATCGACTTCTTTTTTTATCCCTTTCCATCAATAACTCTCCCATTTCTTTTCCATCTCTGATCGTTCCAACCTAACCTAACCCCTTCCCTTTTCTCATCCTCCCGGTCCTACCCACCGAGTGAAGCAGTGAGCAGCTGAAAGAATCCAGTCAGAGGAGATAAGCGAGGCGCCACAGTCCACAAGGCCATTCCTCATGACAGCTACCATGAAGGGCCACACGTCACCCTTGGCCTCAGTACCGTTCACGATCTTCTTACCATAGCTGTGTTCCCTCCTGACGCGACCTGTTGTGGATGCTGATGGTATATTGTGGATGTTTAACTACGGCATATGCAAAACAGGTTAAGATACTACGAATTATTATACAGACAAACTATTTTAATCTCGTATACATCTCTTGGATTACATGAAGATTAGCCCTCCCCCAAGCTTATCTTAACTGATGCTACCCGGGTTAGGGTTAATGTTTAATTATCATGTGGATTAATCTGGGGTCCCTAATTTTCAGGTCAGCTCGCTTACTTTTATCTCTACATACACCACTTCTCTCAGCTCCCTTACCCACACCTTCTCTCAGCTCCCTTACCCACACTTTCTCTCAGCTCCCTTACCCACACCTTCTCTCAGCTCCCTTACCCACACCCTCTCTCAGCTCCCTTACCCACACCTTCTCTCAGCTCCCTTACCCACACCTTCTCTCAGCTCCCTTACCCACACCTTCTCTCAGCACCCTTACCCACACCTTCTCAGCACCCTTACCCACCCTTCTCTCAGCACCCTTACCCCACACCTTCTCTCAGCACCCTTACCCACACCTTCTCTCAGCTCCTTACCCACACCTTCTCTCAGCTCCCTTACCCACACCTTCTCAGCTCCCTTACCCACACCTTCTTTCAGCTCCCTTACACCTTCTCTCAGCTCCCTTACCCACACCTTCTCTCAGCTCCCTTACCCACACCCTCTCTCAGCTCCCTTACCCACACCTTCTCTCAGCTCCCTTACCCACACCTTCTCTCAGCTCCCTTACCCACACCTTCTCTCAGCTCCCTTACCCACACCTTCTCTCAGCTCCCTTACCTACACCTTCTCTCAGCTCCCTTACCTACACCTTCTCTCAGCTCCCTTACCCACACCCCTTCTCTCAGCACCCTTACCCAGGTCTCTGCGGAAACGTTCGAAGCTCATGTTGTTGACGCAGGTTGGGTCACCACAGGTCACGTACACACCCAGACCAGATTGGCAGCTGTCAGAGACGATCATCTCTTGCGTGTGAGGGTCGATATGTGCCCACTTCTTTTCTCCTTGTGACACATCAAGACCAAACGCCATAAACTTGAGTGCGTCCGTCCCAACTCTGATTGTGGAAGAGAGTTCGACATTGTTTGATGATAGCTTAGTTAAAATCGTAGACTTAAATCACTTTGAAATAAATAGAGCCAACAATTCGTCACTGACTTTAGAAAAACTATTAAATTAGATCATTATATATTGAATAAAATACAGTAATGATTTATTTGAATGATACAGCAATTGAAATAAATTAGTTAAGTTACTTGTAAGGTCCATTTTCTATCGTAAATTACTAAAGAAAACTTTTAGGAGTAACTATGTCAACTCCTAAGCAAACCATAAAGTCAAAATTTATCACAATCCTTACCTCTTCTCCCCAACGATCTCGTCACATAGGTTATGTATCTCATTCATTAATATATCTCTCTCTTTAAGGTGACCACAGAGAGCCATCCACTGACCTCCCCTCTTCACCTGCAGGAAGCCTCGCTGACGGATGATCATAGAATTCTAGAGAAAGAAAACCGAGGCATTAAGTGTGGCTAATGGTTACTTTATGGTGTGCGTATATCAATGGTTTATCTTACAAGGATACAATACACATCAAAGTAACAAAAAGACGAGTAGCTGAGTAACAATGGAACTCCTGGTCAGAGGCTCGTCCACCTGAAGCTTCACGTATCATCAACAGATTGCCAGTGTCGCACAAGTAACACGACCTAAGTTTTATGGAACTATATAGGTAGAAACGGCTTATTTTCTGCATATTTTACCAATAAACTCATCTATTTCCTGTATAAAGGTGTGAACTACGGACCAACACTACAACACCCACCGAAGAGTCCACCTGCTTCAGCGAGAGCCTCCTGCAGAAGTTCTCATCCTCGTTGCCGTCACAGTGAGGGTGACCGTCACACCTCTGCTCAGGAGTAACACACACAGGCTTGAGGTCCTTCACACACCACAGCTGTCCCTCCAAACATCCTGTAGAACACCAAACACAAACAAGAATATTTATAACGAAGTAAAGTTGTACTACATTATAAATAGATGAATCCGTTATACGCTTTCTTCCGGGCACTTAATACCCTCATTGTATTTATCACATTCTTTACCAATAACTCTAAAATTACTTATCAAATATCATTATATATAGGAAATAAATATTGGAATTCCTAGTATGTGGAGGACTACAATTTCTCCATCTACAACATTTAATCGTAACAAATTTCTAACCACACACTCCTACCATCACCCGACACCTTACCAAAACAGCCCAATTCGTCTGAGAAATCCGGACAGTCTGGTACATCGTCACAGATTCGGTCTGATATAATAAGGCGGCGACACGTACAGCTGGCCTCATCAGAAGCGTCGGGGCAGTTGACGACACTGTTGCATTCCTCCTCTGGGTAGTAACACCCCCGAGACGACTTACACGGTATCATGCCTCCCTGACACTCTGTTGGAAGTAAAGATGAAGAATAAGTTTATCAGGAGAGGTAATTAGGTCCCTCGCCCCACCATGGTACAGTTTAAGGGATAATATGGGTAAAGTCATAAGAAAAAGCTCTTATTTTACGATTCAACTCGGAAAGTGATTTAGTGTGTAATTTAGATAAATCCTGAATTAAATAGGTGTAATCTAATTCAAGGGGAGAATAATCTACAAACAAATCTCACACAACACAACGCTCCAAAGTGCTGTGTGTGTCGGTGAACCAAAACTTGACCCAATAAGATACATAATGGTGGTGGAAAGGTGGTCATGGCCCCTACATCACACCCAGTACACCCAACTCACCGTGGAACTCGTGCATTTTGTCGCCGTCGTCCGTTGGCTCCCAGAAGGGCGTCCTTGACTGAACAATACGACCACCACTACCATGCTCCTCGTCCTCACACTCCTCTTCTGTTTTGGAGCTTTTCTTTTCGAGGTTGATATCTGTTCCTGGTCGTTCATCCTCCATCCTAGTTCTTTCCTCTGATCGGTCATCCTCCATGCTAGTAGTTATTCCTAGTCGACCCTCCTCCATATCCTTCCTCCTTCCTAGGTCTCCTTTAGCTTCGTCTATCGCCTTCAGGAGGGAGTCAACCGCCACTACACCGCCCGGAGGATCAGACAAGGCAACAGAGGACCTCACACTCACACAGATGACCCCATACACCACCAGCAACCACCGACTAGACTGAGCCATGACGAGGGACTCACTGATGGCGCTTTTCAGGAGACACTAGACGAGAAGTGAACCAACTCTCACGTCTAGTAGTCTATTACCTCACCGGCTGATGTTTGAACGGAGAGATTAGTATTGCAGAGATGTTTTGGGGGAATGAGGCATTGAGATCCTGATGTTTTGGACGAGGCAAAAGATGAAAATTTTGCAGAAGGTTGACTCCTCGCTGTCTACACCAACGCCTGCCTTGCCTCCTTCTTCACTACTGCGGTGTTGAGGTTGACGGATCCCTCCTCCGGGCGTCACGAATATGAATCTGCCTCGAATATAGTGCTTCGAACACATCAATAACTGCAAACGTCTCGAAGCTCCGTTCATGATTGATATAAATTTCAATTATTCATTGATATCGTTGTGAACCAAATTTACCTCGACCAATAAATGAGGAAGAGAAACCATAAGATAAAAGAGAGAGAGAGAGAGAGAGAGAGAGAGAGAGAGAGAGAGAGAGAGATTGAAATTACTCCTTACAAACGAAAAATTTAAAGATGATTCATAAAATTCCGAACCAGTGAGACAGAGACAGGGAAAATTCGAAAATCTTGATGACGTCACTGGATTCATGAACGCCTCCTGCCCCTACCCCCCCCCCCTAAAGGTAGCAGTATTGGTAAACACACAATTACTAACGACCCAACTATGAGGCGACTATACATAATAATACCTCCACCTGTCAACATTAATTAATTGCATGATCTTTTGCCTGAATAAAGTCTTTGCTTAGTTAGGATGTTTATAACGTAATCAAATATACGTAATAATTTCTTGGCGCTGTTTCTTTCTTTCTTTCTGTCTCTATCGTCTCCCTTCTCTCTCTATCATCATCAACCCTGGTGCTTTAACCCGAATTAATTAAGACTGAACAAGTAGGTACAAAAAGGTAACTTATTAAACTAAAAACTACAACAGGGCTTGATGTACCGGACTTACTTCAAGGTGGATGGCACTGAATCGTCCAAATGATTGCCTTACCTCTCACCACTGCAGCTCGCTTTACACGGTGGACAAATGGGTCATCAGTGGGTAGTTGTAGACCCTAAACGTCCTTCTCTATAACAGGTTCGCCCCACAGTTTGTTCAGGTCTTCATATTTACCAATTTACTTCCCTTAGACAACACACATAACATCCTGGGCAACACTGATGACTTCTTGAACTGTTTTACGTGTTATATCTGACTGACTTTCAAGCTGGTGACATATTTGAATTAGTTCGGGTCTGGCGCGTCTCACCTCCCTCCCTCCTTTTATTACAGCAGTTAATTATGTAAGTGGATTAATCTTGCCCGTTTACACCTGTGATCTAATTCACATTTGATTTCATTAACCTGTTTGCTCCTTGTGGCTGATATAATCTTCAACACCTGTAATAAGTACGATAATTTATCTGTACTCGGGTTGTAGGTATAATTTCTATGTTGTGTTTACTGTTGTGCTGTCCCCCTTAGTTAACATTTACAACATTTACAAACACTGATATATAAACATTTTTGGGTGATATTTTTTAGTGTTTTGTAAAATAATTGTTTGTGCAATGAAATTAGAGAAAACGTATTGTATGCCAAGTTTCCCATTTTCGCGAATACATTTTCTTCAGTTTTTGGCGTATGAATGTTAGTCACTTACACATTTACAAACATATTATTATTAGTATCACTATATTATAACAGTTATTACCACACACCACCACCACCACCATAAGTCACCTCTACACCACTTCAAAAACCCCTCCCGAGACACCAGAAACAAAAAGGTCTCTGTCTTCTCTCACTGTCTTCTCTAGCCTCCCTCCATCCTTCCTCCTCTCCCCACACGAGCGCCAGAGCCCCTCCCCCCTTCACCACCACGTCCCCATCTATCTTCCCCCCCTCCCTACCTCCTCACCTATCATCCCCCCATCCTCCACCTCCCCCTTCTCCCCCCTCCCCAAGCAGTAGGGAGGGAACAAGAGGTAACATGACTAGCAACTCCTAGTCTCCCCGAAGTCTCAATACCTCTTACGATATCTTTATTTCTCTCGTAATTAAAGAACAAATTCTGATTCACTATACGACATACTGATAGATTCTTAAAATTCTCGTAAGATAATTTATTTCGCGTAAAGAACGATACTAACACTTAAACTACGATATAAAGTTGTATATTCTCAACCCCAAAAAATGTCGTAAGATGATTTTTTTTCCTCGTAAGTGATGTCATTATCTAATTGACTTACTTAACCAACGGACGGAAAAAACCAAGGTTAAAAATGGCTTCAAAATTACATTGAGATCAACTCGATTTTCTCTCTCACACACGTGGCTGGGTGAGAGAAAGGGAGTAAGGGGGAATGGTGCTAGCTGTCTCCTCCCCCCCTTCCCCCTCCTTACCATACCGGTCCGTTTCTACTCACGTTGAGGAACATGTGACCATCTCCCCTCTCATCACCCCATAACCCCCCCCCCAACCCCCTCTGTCTACTCTATCCTCTGACGCTCCAGGTTCATCTACTATCGCTATTTCATTTATTGCTTCATCTACTGCTACTATTACTGCTTCATCTACTGCTACTATTACTGCTTCATCTACTGCTACTATTACTGCTTCATCTACTGCTACTATTACTGCTTCATCTACTGCTACTATTACTGCTTCATCTACTGCTACTATTACTGCTTCATCTACTGCTACTATTACTGCTTCATCTACTGCTACTATTACTGCTTCATCTACTGCTACTATTACTGCTTCATCTACTGCTACTATTACTGCTTCATCTACTGCTTCATATACTGCTTCATCTACTGCTACTGTTGTTGTTTTATCTATTACTACTACTACTACTACTACTACTACTGTTGTTGCTGTTGTGATGCTGTTCCTGTTGCCATTTCCGTTATCGTTGTTGTCATCTCGGGTTTTCCTGTTGTCACTTGCTGTTTCCGTCACAGGAGAGAGAGAGAGAGAGAGAGACGTGGGTTGTTGTTTTTGCTGTCATTTCTGGTGCAGCTGCCGATGCTGTCGTCAAGGGAAGTTACCAGAACCTCAGGCCACGGTTGACACACACACACACACACACACACACACACACACACACACACAAACACACACACACACACAGGCCACGATTCTCAAAGGGCTCTTAAGTTAAATTTTCCTTGCAAGTTTAGACATGGGAAAACTTAAGACAAACGTGAGACAAAATAAAAAAATAATAAATCAACCATGGCATCAAACTACACAGAGACTCTACCCCTTGAGTACGATAACTTAACCCGTCAGATTACAATAACTTACGTGCAAATATAAGAACATATCTGACTCACTCAAGTTACGACACAATGATGGATTCTCAATTATTCTGACGATTAAATTTTACCTTTCCTGGAGATGTGATCACGATTACAGATTAATTATCATAGGCTCGTAAGGTAAAATTTTCTCGTAAATGATTATGTATTAAAACTTGGTAGCTGTTGGAGGTTAATTTATCTTAATTACAGAAGCAAAAAATGCACGTAAGAACAGGTGAGAATTTGAACACCTGAACTAATTATCTTTCACCTTAAAAACATGACTAGAGAGATTTTCTGTACTTTATACCTGTACCTGTACTTTATACCTGTACCTGTACTTTATATTTGTACCAGTACTTTATACCCGTACCTGTACTTTATACCTGTACCTGTATTTTATAACACCTAGAATACCTGTACTTTACACCTGCTATAACACCAACACTACCTGTACTTACAAACCTCAATAAATCTTACCCAATAACACTCCATCACCTCCAATTAAACCATCTAACAACACCTGGTAACTGCCCCTTCATAAACACCTGTTAACCACCTACTTTACACCTGCCGTCGACACACCTGTTTGAAATCATCCCTCAAGTCTGTTTATCCTTCAGTTTACATCTCACGTTCCCGGATGCTGTAAGTTACCAACCCGCATCCCTGACTCACGTGGGTTAAGGGAGATATATTAAACGGTGTAATGGCCTGGCAAGGTCACTGAGGACGCCATTGAACAAGAACTAATCCGGTATTATTTCATTAACTTTCAAATTAATTGGGTTGAAGTTTTTGTTTGTTTTTGTTTTGTTGGTTAATATGGAGTCATAATTTTGTGTTGAGACTTGAGTATTTCCATATTTTTGGTTAGGTTAGGTTAGGTTAGGTATAATACTATGAGGCGCTGTGTACAATACTTCTCACGTGGCTGTGTGGAGAGAGGTTTGTACTATGTATCTGAGAGGGACTGAAGCTTCTACTCTGTCCTTGAGAGGGAGTTAATGTTGTTCTTGTAAATGAACTTTTTAGCGTAGACAGTAGCAAGTTTATTGTGCACCCCATACACATCCTATGAACGACCCAGACAGTAGCTAGTTTATTGTGCACCCCATACACATCCTATGAACGACCCAGACAGTAGCTAGTTTATTGTGCACCCCATACACATCCTATGAACGACCCAGACAGTAGCTAGTTTATTGTGCACCCCATACACATCCTATGAACGACCCAGACAGTAGCTAGTTTATTGTGCACCCCATACACATCCTATGAACGACCCAGACAGTAGCTAGTTTATTGTGCACCCCATACACATCCTATGAGTCAGTAGCGCCATAAATGATTACAGAATAGAGGCCACAAAGGGTGTTTATCAGACCCCAGTGGTGAGGATATTGTGGCGTTGAGTGTTACAGAGTGTTTACAGTACATTGTTTGTTTAGTTGTGTAAATGCAAGTTGACTTAGGTGTTAGGTGCGTAATGTGGATACAGCTTTAGTACATCAGCTATCTTGCCATCAGTGTGGAGCCATATGTAAACTCTAATCACTTGCAACATCATCTAACTACTTGCAACACTAACTAATTACTTGCAACACCATCTAACTACTTACAACACCGCCTAACTACTTGCAAGACCACCTAACTACTTTCAAAAACTAAACATGCAACTCCTAACTTCTTGCAACATCACCTAACTACTTGCAACACTAACTAACCACTGGCACCAACGCTTAACCACTTGTAAAGCCACTGAACATTAGGTGGTACAAACTTCTAGGAATATTGCAATTGGGAACCCTCTCGATGGCAACACTCAGGCTCAACGAAGATGGATGTGGGGGTTTGCTTACCCGGCTCTTGTTGCCATATGGTGTGTCCCAAAATTTTGTCAAGTTCTCTCAGATGAGAGAGAGAGAGAGAGAGAGAGAGAGAGAGGGTTTAACCTCATCTCACACTTGGGGCAGGTCTGGTTAGGTTGATGGACAAGTTAGGATAGTCAGCTACAAGGATAGGATAGGGTAGGATAGTCTAGGCCGCTAGGGTAGGGTAGGGTACGATTAGGGATGGTATAGGATAATGTATTAATCGGCCTTAGGACTAACATACACAATGAAAAATCCTGAAAGATGGAAAACATAAACCCGGGACATTTGTTTGTCACGTCTCGCACCACCAACACGAGGGGACATAACTACAAGCTCGCTAAGTTATCATGTAGAACGAACATAAGGGATCACTTCTTTACACAGAGGCTGGTATACCTATGGAGCGGCCTACCACCTCAAGCTGTAGACCTAAGGAACGGCCTACCACCTCAAGCTGTAGACCTACGGAACGGCCTACCACCTCAAGCTGTAGACCTAAGGAACGGCCTACCCCCTCAAGCCGTAGACCTATGGAACGGCCTACCACCTCAAGCTGTGGGAATCAAGAAGACTGGAAAGATCCTACGTAAGTCATTGGCCACCTTCCCTCGACATGGCCATTAAGTAAACGAAGGTAAAAAAATATACGTTCTTGTGACCCTCGGAATAGCCACTCGAAGTACAATTTCTACCCTGAACGTCTATATAATAACATTCCTATGAATGGCACTACAAATACGTTCTCGACTTACCATTAAACACTGACGCAATTATGTTCCCGTCACACCTCTTGAACGGCGTCACCACTTACTGTACGTCCCAGTCTTGCCGTTCACACGTTCAAGACCAAACTGACTCAGGCTGTGGGGTAGAGAGGTTGTGGGTTACTGTAATGAACTAACTTAGTATGTGGCCCTCGTTAACCCTTTATAATGACCTCGTTAGGCTGTTAGACCCCGAGCTACGCGCAGGAGAGAGGGAGTGCATGGTTAGTGTAGTCTACCTTTATTACGTCATCATAACAGGTAACTAACTCAGGTAAATAAAATCATCATCATCATCATCATCTTCCATCTCCTCATTATCTTTCATCTCCTCTTCATCATCATCATCATCTTTCATCTCTCATCATCATCATCATCACTACCAAACACAACAGGTAACACAGGTAAATAAAACACGTGTATCATATATATAAAAAAAGAAGACATTACTTTTAATATAATCTTTATATAATAATCGTATAAAACATCTCTAAGTTACTTGTTTTTTAATAATAATTTGTATCATTATGAGGACTTAGTGTATATTTTTGTGTGTATAACAAGCTAAGCAAAAAATACATATACTTTGACAACTAACACGGAATACATTATTATCAACAATACTAAATAATTTCACAGGTGGTATAAATAACTTCTATGTCAACTCCAGCTTAGGATGTTTAAGTCTTTTCTTAAATTATCCTTCAACATTCATCATTAAAGTCTATATAAACATCCTAATATACCTTATAAACATCTAACATCACATTTGTGTATAATTATAGATACAATAACCTTTTATTATATCTCTAAACATTGAACATAAATATCTAACATCACATTGCACCTATCAAACAAACATCTAAGAATCAAATCATTTTCATTTTACCAGCATTAGTCATTATATACTTGTTATTCACCATATGTTCACCTTTATCATTCATTATACACTGTTGTTCAATATATGGTCACCTTGAGACACACCTGTATTTATGTATAATATCACTACAATGAACAAATTCCACTGAACTGTTCAATAATTTAGTTTAGGTAAATTTATCACAAAGTATTAAAACTTACAGGTAGATAAATATTTTCAGTGTCTATTCGTCTCTATACTTATAAATTATAATCGTGTTGTCATTTTCTTCTACAGTTTACCTTTTCTTCTTCATTTATTCCGTTTTCTTTAATGCTTTTACATTTCTTCTTAACTTGCTACGTTTTCTTTCATATCTATTCCATTTTCTTTTACACTTTCCCATTTTCTTCTTCAATTAATCCATTTTCCTTTAATTAACCACATACTATTATATTCACAAGTAACATAGCCTTAATAAACTCTACTAGAGAACTTGTCATCATTCTGTAGCCTCAATACAATATAAACTTACGAAAAAAACTAATTCTCTCCCACATGAGTTTTGTACATTCTTAACGTCAAAATTAAGAGGTTCATTTGGGGCAGTGTGTGAGTGTGTGTTTGTGTACGATACAGACTCTAGCTGGCAGTAAAGACATTAATCACCCTTTTAAGTCTATTTCTGTGTTCTATCAATTGTCATGGAATTTAAGACTTATTTCCCCCTATTTTTTTTTACGGAGATGAAGTATAATTGGGTATAAAATTTTAATCGATTGGGTGGAGAGGAAATATTATCGATGAAGTAGAATTAATTGAGAATATCTTAGTTAATTGCCACACTAAGATAGGTGAGGAGGTGGGGAGGTGAGGGAAGGGCTTTTTTGATATCCTTGTAGAAATGGTCGGTGTGTGTGTGTGTGTGCATGTGAAGTCTTCTCTCCATCACACCTCATCCTCCTTGATCATCTACCTACCTCCTCCTCCTTCTTCTTCTTCTTCTTCTTCTTCTTCTTCTCTTTCCTTATGTAGATCCTGGAAGCTGTAATGGCGTCTTGGTTCTCTTGGTCTCATCTCTGGAAGAACTGACTGGAAAAAGGGCGCCAGACACTGAGGATCTTGTACGAGGTGTTGGTGTGTTTGTCTGGAAGTTCTCAGGAGACGATAACTTCATCTTGTTTTTGTTGTAATTGTTGTTTGATGTTTTTGTTTTCCTGATGTTGTTTTTGTTTATTTTGAGAATCTTGATGAAAGGCGTCAGTCGTCAGCAGAGGGATAAAGTCAATGGTTGATGATACTGTAGTCAGGGCATCAGTTAGGATACGACAGTGGCTGATAATTAATTAATAGTAGTCAGGACATCATAAATCAAGGAGTGTCAGCAGATGAAAGTAGGTGTCAGTAATGTCAGCAGATGAAAGTAGGTGTCAGTATGTCAGCAGACCAGTCAGGTGAAATCAGCAGGTAAGCCAACAACGCTGACTAACACGGGGACCAAAACGTCAGCAAACCAAAATCTGGAAGCCTGGCTGACGAAAAAAATCTCTCTCACTAGATCACCGTCAGCCATAAGAACAGACGATGGTAACCACAGACAGACCCAGCCATCCATCCAGACAAAATTACGACTGGTGGATACTAAACAGACACACAGACAGATAGACAGAGCCTAACCGTCCTATCCAAATGTAACTTGACCGACCAAAACAACTCACAGACAGACAGCCCTATCAGACAGACAGACTATGACTCACAGACACTGACAGCAACATCTTTAGGAAGCTGACCAAGGGAGAGGAGTGAGCTGGTGAAGTACTGTATACACACTCTTCAAGCTTTGCTCAACAGCCCCCATCACTCTTCAGGATAAAGCTTCCGTTTCTCAAGCTTGAAGCGGGTACTGAGAAGAAGTGGGCTGGACTTACGGAGAGGCCTGTGAGAGAAGAGAGAGAGAGATAGAGAGATAAGTTGAGATAAGTTTAGGGAGGAGGTAAAATGGCGTCTGTTTTGTGTAAAGACTTGATGAGATGGGAATAATAATAATAATAATAATAATAATAATAATAATAATAATAATAATAATAATAATAATAATAATAATAAAACACACGAATGCCAACCTAACTACCCTAGATTATCTCGCCTGATGATTAAACACTCTAATGCTTAATCCCTTTCATAACTACAGTAAATGTATACGTAACCACAACTTGACCTACCACAGCTTGACCTACCACAGCTTGACCTATCACAGCATGACCTACCACAGCGTGACCTACCACAGCGTGACTACAACTTGACCTATCACAGCATGACCTACCACAGCGTGACCTACCACAGCGTGACCTACCACAGCGTGACACACAGCTTGACCTATCACAGCATGACCTACCACAGCGTGACCTACCACAGCGTGACCTACCACAGCTTGACCTATCACAGCATGACCTACCACAGCGTGACCTACCACAGCGTGACCTGCCCTCGTTACATTTATGCTGTGGTCAACCTCAGTGATAAGGCTTTAAACTGATTTGATAAGATTAAATTGCACAATGGTGACGGCGTGTGTGTGTGTGTGTGCGCGTGACCTCTCATAAAATCTTAAAATAAGTGGAAAGTCAAACGAGCTTCCTTAGTGGAGAGAGAGAGAGAGAGAGAGAGAGAGAGAGAGAGAGAGAGAGAGAGGAGAGAGAGGGGGAGACTTACTTAATTATCCTAGACATCTTGTGGTACCAGGTAGTTGTGTCAGGGGTCAAGGTCAGGTACACTTCATAGGTGTTGGGCATAGTGGGGTCAAGTACTACCCTCGTCAGCTCCTGCTCTCCCTGCTGTCCGTCGTCGTACAGCACGTGCAGGACGCCTCCCCTGGTGGTGAGAGAGAGCGAGAGTTAGTGAAAGTGAGAGAAATTGAGTGAGAGAGAGAGTATATGAACAAAACTCGTTCGAAAAGTTCAATTATTCTTTAAAATATTTCATCAATCATTCACACTTAATTAAATCCATCTGAACCCTTATATTACCCATTCGAACCATCCAGTCACTCGTTCGAACCTTCCAGTCACCCATTCGAACCTTCCAGTCACCCGTTCGAACCTTCCCAACACCCATTCAACCTTCTGATCACCCATACAAAACCTCCCCATCACCCATCCAAACCCCTTGAAACACCATGAAGAAACCATCCACTCACTCACCCACCCATTCGAACCATCCAAACCACCTCATATGAAACTTACCTCAGTCCACACGGTTCAGAGTCCGCTAACCGAAGGACCTGGGCAGTTACTTCATCGATAAGTCCATTGGGCACCATGACCTGACCACAACCAAGGGCGTCAGCTCGACTTGTCACCTCCTGAGTCAATTGTTGAACCATGCTCACTTTGGCTGCCACTTCACCCTCTACTTCAAACACCTCCAGATCTGTGGGTTTGAGAAATCAGATACGAATAGTCTCCCATCAGGTACAGGTGTAATAATCTGTGGGTAATAGCGTTTGAGAAATAGCCACTCAGATACGTATAATCTCCCATCAGGTACAGGTTTGATAGGGGAAATCAGTATGTATGTATGTATGTAGACGATGAATATAGCACCTTACAATGTTGGTTTGGTTAGACTGACCTATAAGGAGTATGTGATCCGATATTGCGAGGAAGGAAGGAATGATGGAAGGGAGGAGAAAAGGAGGGAAAGAAAGAAAGGGAAGAAGGGAGATTGTGTGTGAAATAAACAGAGAGAGAGAGAGAGAGAGAGAGAGAGAGCTGGCTCTCTCTCCTTTCCTTTCCCCATATCAAACCTTTCCTATTTCCCTCCTCCCTCACACCCCTCCCACCCTCACACTCCCTCACACCTCCCTCCCTCACACCTCCCTCCTCTCACCCTCCCTCCCTCACACCTCCCTCCCTCCACCCTCCCTCCCTCCACCCTCCCTCCCTCACACCCTCCCTCCCTCTCCACCCTCCCTCCCTCTCTCCTCCTCCCTCTCACCCCCTCCCTCCCCCTCCTCTCACCCCTCCTCCCTCCCCCTCCTCACCCCTCCCTCCCTCCACCCTCCCTCCCTCCCTCCCACCCTCCCACCCTCCCTCCTCCTCACACCCTCCCCCTCCTCTCCCTCCTCCCTCTCACCCTCCCTCCTCACTCCTCCCTCACCTCCCTCCCTCTCACCCTCCCTCCCCTCACACCCTCCCTCCCTCACACCCTCCCTCCCTCTCACCCCTCCCTCCCTCCCTTCTCCTCACACCCCTCCCTCCCTCCCCCCTCCCTCCCTCACACCCTCCTCCCTCTCCTCCTCTCACCTTCCCTCCCTCTCACCCTCCTCCTCCACCCTCCTCCCTCTCACCTCCCTCCTCTCCCTCCCTCCCTCCCTCCCTCTCACCCCTCCCTCCCTCACACCCTCCCCTCCCTCTCACCCTCCCTCCCTCACACCCTCCTCCCTCACACCCTCCCTCCCTCACACCCTCCCTCCCTCACACCCTCCCTCTCCTCACCTCCCTCCTCACCTTCCCTCCCTCTCCTCCACCTCCCTCCCACACCCTCCCTCCTCTCTCACCCTCCCTCCCTCCACCCTCCCTCCCTCCCCCCCTCCCTCCCTCACACCCTCCCTCCCCTCTCCCTCACACCTGGCTACCTCAACCACCAGACATGACGGCAGCCACGGAGAACTCTCCACAATACACAATAGGAAACACCTTTGTAGTATTTACCTTTTGTGTTCGAGGCCGTGACTTGCTAGGTAGTAGTGGTGTAGTGGTAGGTGGTGGTGGTAGTGGTAGGTGGGTGGTGAGTGGTGGTAGGTGGTGGTGAGGAGTGGTGGTAGGTGGTGGTGGTTAGTGGTGGTAGGTGGTGGTAGTGGTGGTAGGTGGTGAGTGTTGGGTAGGTGGTGTTTGGTGGTGGTGGTAGTGTTGGTGGGTGGTGTGTGGTGTGGAGTGGTGTGTGTGGTGGTAGTGGTGGTGTGTGGTGACGGTGGTGTGTGTAGTGGTGGTGTATGGTGATGGTGGTGGTGGTGTGTGGTGGTGGTGGTGGTGGTGGTTACTCATTTCCATCCCACACTTACAAATTCAGTTCACAATTATAACCGGATCTTGGTAATAATTGGCCCCTATGTGACGCCGGAAAGAAGCTCTCTCTCTCTCTGCAATACTTAACCTCCGGGTCACACCCTTTCTGGTGAACTGGTGACGAGGTCGTGACGTCACCAAGACCTTTTTTCTCTCTCTCTCCATCTATTTATCTAACTATCTCATCGTCCAAGGTTACTCCACTGTGGTCTCATAACCATTAAATCACCGCCAGCACGACATTACCAAAGCCTGGCGTTACAACATCCTTTCGCCTTCCCTCCCTCCTTCTAACCCTCCTCCCTCCTTCTAACCCCCTCCCTCTTATAACCCTCCCCTCCCTCCTTCTTACCCTCCTCCTCTCTCTCTCCCTCCTTCCAACCCTCCTCCTCCTCCTTCTAACCCTCCTCCCTCCTTCTAGCCCTCCTTCTCCCTCCGTCCAACCCTCCCCCCTCCTCCTTCTACCCTCCTCCTCCCTCCCGTAACCTTCCCTCCCCTTACACCTCAGGGGCCAGGTATACTCACTCACCTATAATTAGAGAGAGTTAGCCAGGTGTACAGTTTATTAATAGAGGCCAAGGACAACTTTTGCCCATTTCCGTTTCTCACATCCTTCTGAGAGAGAGAGAGAGAGAGAGAGAGAGAGAGAGAGAGAGAGAGAGAGAGAGAATGGAGGTAGAAGGTGGGAGGGAAGGAAGACAGGAGAATGAGGGTGAAGAGGAAGGGAAGAATGAGAGAGATAGAGGAAGGGAGAAATAGGTCGCCTGATAACGAACTAAGGGAGGGATGAGATTGGGGTAGGAGGGGGAAGGGATGTGGGGTATGTATGTCTGTATGTATGTATGTGTAAATGCTACTCGCATGTCAGGAAATGTAAGGCATGATGGCTAACACGCTAGAGGGGGGTTGAGGGGGAGGGGGTGGACTCATTATAATTATAGGTGGACGTGTGTGTGTGTGTGTGTGTTTTCTTAATTTATCAGTCTGTTTTATTATTATTATTATTGTTTCTTTAGTTAACAGTAAGTGATAATTCTTCAAGTTATTAATAACTCTCTCTCTCTCTCTCTCTCTCTCTCTCTCTCTCACTTTTATTGACATCATCATACAGTATATAAAGAAAAAATTTTCACGTGTACTTAATTTACATACTTTTGGATATTGAATAATAATAATAATAATAATAATAATAATAATAATAATAATAAACCAGTTGTAATAACATCTATTTGACTTTCAGATTAAAGTTATTAGAGCCAAGAGAGAGAGAGAGAGACTGTCGAACACATAAGGCACATTGTTCTATACTAACACAGCGAGAACTTCACCCTTAACACCATTCGCACTCTGTGACTCCTGCCTGGGTCATTGGCCTCTCTGGGGAAGGGGAAGGGGAGGTGACTGATAAACATGGTGCTAGTGCTGTACTCCTGAACTAGGGGAGGGTGATGGAGGGAGGGGGTGATGGGTGAGGGGAGGGAGATGGAGAGGGGGAGAATAGAGAGACAGAGAGAGGAGGGATGAAGAAGAATAGAGATGGAGGTATTTACAGAGGGATGTTGGAGAGGGGAGAGGAGATGGGGGGGGAGAGAGGGGAGAAGAGTGGGAAGAAGAAGGGAGTGGGGAGGCAGCTGGGTACAAGGGAACTCAGTATTATAGCCCCCAGAGTTATATATAAAGATGATTCGCCAATAATAATCTTTCTGTCCCAATTACTTGTCTGTCTTTCTGTTTGTCATATGCTGCTATTATTATTATTACTATTATTATTATTATTATTATTATTATCATCATCTAAACAAAATTATACAACCAGCAATATAATAAAAAAAATCCCAAATTACATTGTATAATTCACTATCGTAAGAACACAATAACAAAACCTGAAGATAATTACACCAATTACCTTTAATGGCAGGTGTGATATGACCTTTAATTTACCATGTTAGCTCAGGTAATTAGGTTAAGAGTCAAGCCAAATTATATTGTTTATCTTATTATTTAAAGGTTATACTATCTATGTCTGTCTGTCTGTCTGTTGTTGTGTTGTCTGTCTGTCTGTCTGTCTGTCTGTCTGTCTCACACTGACTCTTAACAATGACTGACTCTGACTATATCAACCCGAGTCAAAGGCAGCTGTGGACAAGGTAATTCAAGAGACAGTAACTCACAGGGGGGAGGATGAGTGGGGGTTAGTGGGAGGAAGGGGGAGTGGGGAAGAGAGAGGGGTAATTTGATGACTTGCGTGGGATTCACATGGCACTGAGCAAGGCACTGAACCCTGTACAGTACCACCTGTGTCCGTTATGTGAGAGAGAGTGAGAGAGAAAGAGAGAGATTGTGTGAGGGAAAGAGAGAGAGAGAGGAGAGGGAGAGAGAGAAAATTTTTCTTGATCTATCTCTATTCCCGTTTACTCTCTCTCTCTCTCTCCATTATTCAACGTCTGCCTCTCACTTTCCATTACCTCCTCAGCAATCTTCCTTCCCACACATCCACCTCTCACTCTCCCACTCCCTCCCTCCCACACTCACCCTTCACTCACACACTAACCCTCTCATTCAACTCTTCCTCTCTCCCACACACCCCCTCTCCCTCCCTCCCTCTCCCTCCTCTCTTATCTCCCACTCGTAAGATACAATATTAAAAAACTCACACACTGTCAACACATTAATCTGAGACCATAGTAACGTCAGAGATACCAACAGGTGATCACAAATTATGGTTAGGTTAGGTTAGGTTAGGTGTAGTGGTGAGAGTTTATTTGGAACCTGAGAGAGAGAGAGAGAGAGAGAGAGAAGAGAGAGAGAGAGAGAGAGGTCATTAAGCTAACTCTACTAGTTGTAAATTATCTCCACTACCGGGTCCACTCCTGAACCATCTGTCACTGTACAGGTGGCTGGAGTCATTAACCACCTGGCTTCCACCTACATACACCTGTAAAGTCGGATACACGCTCATCAGTTTTACACGAACGCTAGAGTGATTTGTTGACGTCTTGGGGGGACTACACATACATACATACATACATACATACATACATACATACATACATACATACATACATACATATATACATACATATACATACATACATACATACTGTTCATACATACATAGTCACATACACACACACACAAACACACACACATATATATATATATATATATATATATATATATATATATATATATATATATACAAGTTCACCTATGCCTCCCCTACCTGGTCTTCCTCCTAAATGCCACACAACGTAACACCTAGAAAAAGTGCAAAAGAGGGGCATGCAAGATTATTCTCTCCCTTCCTACTCCACATATCAAGAAGCGCTCAACACACTAACCCTTTCGACTCTATGACCATCACCACGACCTCATCTGCAAATCTGGTAAGAAGCTTCTACACCATCCTCGACACCGGCTCCTACTACCACCCGAGATCCCTCGCCCGAGAATTGCTGTTCGACACCACAACCGCATCCAGCCCCACGAGCTGAACTGATCGCTATAAGAACAGCCCAGTCCCAACCATTGTAAAATATCAATAACTTGTAATAAACCAGTGTATTCACTCCCGGTAAATCCTACTTTTTGCACTGTCACTATGTTGAAATACCCTGTAGTTTGAGCTTCGCCCCACCTAGTTATTATATATCTTATTTGTATCACTTATGTTACTTGTGTATTATTTGTAAACCCATTCCCCAATTATGTAACTGTATATTTTTCAGCCTTCTGGCTGTTATGCTCTTTCAATAAACCGCTAATTATTATTATTATTATTTATTATTATTGTTATTTTACATTAGAAAAGTGCAGAAGGTAAAAGGGTCTTGGAGGTTGAGGTAAGGGAGGTTAAGGGAAGGATAATGTCCCTAAGAGAGGTTAGGGGGTTAGGGGGTAGTCTGGATTAATGGGGGTAGGAGGGAGGTAGGGGAGGGATGGGAGAGGAGAGGGAGAGGGTGAGGAGAGGGAGAGGGGAGGAGGGGGGAGGGGGATGGTCAAGACTCACCCTAGACTAGTTGACTCAACGACCTTGAGAGAGTCACCCTTCAGGAACCTGCGGCCCTCTGGAAGGTGAGAGAGAGAGAGAGAGAGAGAGAGAGAGAGAGAGAGAATCCTGTCCTGCTAAAATTACTCAGCTAGTCAGTATGTCCAAATTTAACCAAAGCCACCATCAACAATCCTATCAACAAAGGGCGTAAACCACCACCAACACCAAGTCACTCAAAAAATCACCCGTATCGAAGGGGTCCACAAGGGTCATTTCTCACCTGGTGCCCGAGGGACGAAAGGGGAAGTGGGGTTACGTCTCTTGTGTTGAGGTAGGAGGAGGAGGAGGAGGAGGAGGAGGAGGTGACACGTTGGAGGAATGGTGGAGGCACGTGAGAGAGAGAGAGAGAGAGAGAGAGAGAGAGAGAGAGAGAGAGAGAGAGTAGTGGTAGTGGTGGTAGTAGTAGTAGTAAGATAGTAACAGCATGAACCACACACCTACCTCACTTGGACACCTGGTTAATTAACACTAAGCAGCAGCATCCTCAGGTGTTACGTTACGAGTTAAATTCGTCTCCTCTTTTTTTAACATTTTCTCCTCAAGCAGACCCAAGTAAACACCCCAAGAGCTTCCTGGTGCAGGCATAGTGGATCAAAGGCAAAGACTGACTAACTACATTGTGTTGATCGTTCTCAAGGTACCGGGGTTCGGATCTCATGAAGATTACCCCTCCCACCCTCCCCTCCCTCTTACTCCTCCTCCTCCTCCTCTTCCCTTGCCAGCCATCCATCTAGGTTAGGTTAGGTTAGGTTAGGGTGGTTAATCTTCATCTGGTCACGGGTTCGAATCCCTGATATTAATTAAATACTAAAACACATTTCACTGACGAAACTAATTTAAATACCTGATAATGATCTAAGTTTCTCAATTAAGAAGAAAAAACCCAATCATGATTTAGAATTTTTAGATTGCGCCCGACATGATGCGGTAGTTATTGGCACCGATAAGTGGCACTCTGAACAAGGTGCCAACTCACGCCGGGTGTCGCGTTATTCTAAGAGTTTTGACCTTGAACTATGACCTCTGAACTCTAATTACATCATTACCTCCTAGGGCTGTTGCGGTGAGTGTGTGTAATGACTTTAAACACTGTAGCTCTTGTCGTTCGGGAGTTGTGATGTGGATATAGATTTAGATTATTACATATATAGGTTTACACGGCGCAATTGTTACTACTACTAGCGCTTGTGAGACCTCACCTGGATTACGCAGTTCAGTTCTGGTCACCGTACTCTTTAATAATAATAATAATAATAATAATAATAATAATAATAAATCAATAATAATAATAAAATAAATTAATAATAATAATAAAACACGTATACTAATAAAAAAAAATAATTCCTCAATAGCGAATAAAACCAAAAGTGCTAATAAAACCAGTGCTGCCAACCCTACCAGCGAACGACACCGAGGCGCCACGTAGGTACTAATGGGGGGGGTTGCGGATGCTCAGGTGGCAACATTGATTGCAGCCAGCCCACTGAACAAACAGTGTTGCCAGTGTGTTTTGGCGGTAATTGTGTTTATGCGTTTGTTTTTGGTAAGGTGTGTGTGTTTTTGTTTGAGGTGGAAGAGAAGTGAAGTGGTGTGGATGATGTTGTTTGAAGACGAAAGGAGATGGAATTAAAGAGAAGAGAGAAGGCTTACGACCTGTTTACATTCTTGCTCTGTCTGCACTTGTGTAGTCATAAATTCATACATAAATACATACATTGATTATATGTACACGTATATCCGTTGTACACACACACACACCCTCCCACACACACACCCACACACACACACACACACCTCCCCCACACACACACACCTCTCCCCACACACACACACTCCCCCCACACACGCACACACCCCCACACACCCCACACCCCACACACACACACACTCCCCACACTCACACACACCCTTCTCTTGCGCCAACCACAACACGTGCCTCTGCCCTCCCTAAAACTGAGAGGGCCTCATTGTGGTGCCTGGGAGGGTGGGGAGGGAGGGAGAACAGAGGTAATAAGGGGGAGAAGGCCTGTAGAGGACCTTAGCACACCAGGGTCACGGTGTGTGTGTGTGTGTGTGTGTGTGTGTGTGTGTGTGTGTGTGTGTGTGTGTGTGTGTGTGTGTGTGTGTATGTGTGTGTGTGTGTGTGTGTTTGTGTGTGTGTGTGTGTGTGTGTGTGTGTGTGTGTGTGTGTGTGTGTGTGTGTGAGTGTGTGTGTGTGTGCGTTGGTAGGGAGGTGCGGGCGTCGTAGTGAATGGTTGTCCACTACCTCTTACCTCTCCACCCGGGTGAAGCTGGACAACACACCTATAACAAACTCTCTATATATATCTATAACAAATCTCTACAATATCTTTAACTATAGCAAAAATTCATCAATAAACAGCTAAGATAATATTTACTGCTCTTCTGTATACCTCCCGTGTCCGTAGGCTCAAAGGATCTTACGATAAATTAGGATAAAAGAATCTCCAATACACATCATAAGGTGGTAAGTCATTTTCGACGCCATTTTGGATGTCATCTTTGTGTGGGTTGACTCTAGTGTAGTGTTTAAGTGAAACAATTAACGTAAGATCATTTGGGAGTCTTTTTTTCTGTCGTAAGGTAAATGAACCAGTTAGTTACATTCTTACATCTGCAGTTAAGGGAAAAAAATAACTTACGATTTTTTTTGGGGGGGGGGATTCAGGAGCCTGACCCGCTATACTTGGTTAGGTTAGGTTAGCAACAACACAGGTACAACTATAATCAACAAGTACAGTGTTACAGGTTACAGTATATCAGTATTAGGTACAGGTAAAGTAAAATTAATATTATATTTACGTGTAATTTGCGGATTTTTTTCTATTGGGGGAGGGGGTAAATTGAGATCACCTGAAGATTAGACACCCCAGATTATTTAACATGATGACTAAGCAACTTTATCGTTACCTGAGGGGGTTAGGATAGGTTAGGTTGGTTAATCCTCAGGTGATTCGTAAACTGTGTATGAGAGAGAGAGAGAGAGAGAGAGAGAGAGAGAGAGAGAGAGAGAGAGAGAGAGAGAGAGAGAGAGAGAGTTATATCGGTACTTCCAGGTAAACATACACCTGCGAACTCACCTGTTGTTACCAGCAACCACGGGAACTTTAGTGTTGTCATAGTAACACCCAGACAGACAGACAGACAGGTGTATAATATCATAATTAACATGTCAGCAAACAGGTACGGGACAAAATAATGATGTAAATATATAAACAAATAATTAAGGTAACAATTAAGGACAAAAATTAAGTAAGAAAGCAAAAAAAAGAAGGAATTAATTGAAGTATGTATCAAAATGGAGTAAGGAACAACTCAAGAACTAGACAAGGACGAACCGACTACTCACCGTCCGTAGCATCGATGGAGCCTAGGACATCGTAGAGGTTCGGCCGCATCACCTGTACACGATCCATCTTCACCTGGTAGGCCATCGTGGGAATGTTTGAGATCAGGAGTGTCCTTAGGAGCCAGGTACTGTAACGTGGGGCCTTTCCTTCTCCACTTCTTTTCCTTCTTCTGGAGTTTTGGCCCGAGGATTAAGTTGTGTGGGTGTTCCTCCTTCTGCAGTAGTAGTTGGTAAGGATGGACACTCCCCCACACCAGCTCTTGGGGTCGCGGGAGGATTTTTTGGGTGTTTGTTTTTGGATTTATTGAAGGATGATGATGTGGACGAGGAAGGAGAGGAAGAGGGGAAGGAGGGAGGTGACCTTGTAGAGTCACGAAAGTTCTTCAAAAACTTTCACGTTGTTGGTAAAGGTTCATGGAAGGTCTTCATTGAGAGAGGAGGCGGAGGAGGCACAGGAACGTCCACTGAAGAAACGTTGACAAACCACTCGGCCAAGAATGTAAACAGCAGCGGCAGGAACAGGAGCAGCAAAGAGTAAACAATTCCGAGAAAGTTCAAGGGGGAGGAGGTGTCGCACCCTATCGTGACCAGAGCTCGTGGGACACTGAGCTCGCTGCAGCAGCGAGCGGCCTTGGCATAAGAGTGAGGAGGTGGGTGCGATGGGGCTGTGTGTGCGTGTGTATATATATACTGTATGTGTGTGTGTGTGTGTGTGTGTGTGTGTGTGTGTGTGAGCAGAAACTTAACTAAACTCGAGTCTCGCGGCCCCCTGGTGACTGTATGGCCCCCTCACCCACCCACCGCCCCCCAGCACCACCCCTCCCCTCCCTCCTCAGTCACCTGTATGTTGCTGACCGGTGATAAGAGACTATGTGAAGGTCTCTCTCTCATTGTTTCTCTCTCTCTCTCTCTCTCGCTCTCTTTCTCTCACGTCAATCACCTGCTGCCCTGACTCTCACCTGTTGTCATGGCACCTCTCTCTCTCTCTCTCTGTTACATGACACTGATGTGACACCTTCTCCTTGAAATGCAACTGCCTTTTTCTTCAACCATGTTGGGCATGAAAGCTTGACATGACATCTTCTCAACCCTCAGAAAAATGACACATTATCCTCTCCCCATCCTTAGAATGACATGAGGACGTGACACACTCCTGACATATGGCACCCTGACATGACTTCCTCTGGCCTAGGCGCTGGTCGTATCCGTCATAACACTCCCATAATAAGGCGAGCACTGGTAGGACAACACCACATCCTTTCTCTCGTTGTCTCAAGAATATGGACTGAAAAAAATGTCTCTGTTCGTTCGTCCGTCATCCGTCCGTCCGTCATCCGTCCGTCCGTCAGGGCGTTATTACCACGATAACTCGAAGGAAAAAAAGACATTAAACCAAACTCAGTGTTGTGTTCTTACATCACAACAAGATCTCAGATGATGTCGATGATGACGATGTGTTTTGTGCCAATATGGCGTCATAATGACACTAAGACTATAACCTGGACACATAAGAGACACAGCTAAGAAATATTCCTCACTACATCTCCTCAAATAATGATCTTGATCTCTCTGAAAATCTTCCTCATATTTCTCGTGACATTTGACAAGTTTATTGAAGTTATCCTTTATATAGAAAACGGAATGAGGATCTGATTAAATACGAGTTACTGATTAATTACAACACTCAAAATAATTAATTACCTTTTATTTTAAACACCAGTAATATCATCCACTTAATCCTATTCACAGTCGAACAAAAAAAAGTGTCTAAAAAATTTTAAACAACAGTTAGGAAAATTTTTCTGAGACACCCTGTAGTTGTGTTACTGTTGACACCAGTACAGTACGTTAGACACACCTCTTAACACACAGGGCCACGAAACAGCATGGTGCCAACTGTAAACCTGTAAACTAACCCTTTAAACAATGCCCAGGGAGGAGAACGTGGCACCCATGGTTAAACAGGGCCAGTTTGTGCCACTAACTTAACGTGAGTAAATAACTGGAATCACAAAACAACTTACGATTTTTTTTTTACACTTTTAACTTAAGACGTGAGAGAGATCCTCCTTACCTACCTGAGTCACAGAACTTACGACACAAAAGTGGATTCTCAAAGTAACGGAGACAGAATATTTATTATATCTATTTACGCAAGAATAATGATAATGATATAATAATTATGATAAGATAAACCAACATGACCAATAACACAAACAAACACACACACACACACACACACACACACACACACACACACACACACACACTAGTAAATGAAACTCCTTTTTCCTGAGAGGAGAGGAGAGACATAGAGAGAGAAGAAGAGAGAGATAAGGAGAGGAGAGAGAACAGAAAACTAAAAGAGAAGACAGAAGAAAAGAGAAGAGGAGAGACAATAAGAGAGAGAAGAGGAGAAAGAAGAGAAAAGAGAGAGAGAAGAGAAAAAAGAGATAGAGAAGAGAATAAAGAGAAGATCAAACAGTTTGCCCCAAGAGAACTGTACAAGCAAAGAGTAGTGTGACTGGAGGACGGTACAGTTACATGACTGACTGACTGTGTGCCGGTTCACAGTTACACAAGCGGCTGTGTTTATCACCAAGGTCATTGGGTAACTTGTCTATTCAGCTGGGTGTGTGTCTGTATCTTTATCTGTGTCTGTGTATGTGCGTCTGTGTGTGTGTCTTTATCTGTGTGTGTGTGTCTGTGTCTGTGTGTGTGTCTGTGTGTGTGTGTGTGTGTGAATCTACCTCTGTGGAAGTCTATGTCTGTTTGTCTGTGAAAGTCACCCCAATACACATTAGATTCACACAGTGCCAGACAGTGCCAGACAGTGCCAATGCAATACATCCCCACAAAAATAATAATCAAGACCTCAACTCCAGACAGATAGAGAGTGCCACACGGGTGACCATAATCAGAGGGTGCCATCAACACATGCTTGAGCAGGACAGTGCCAGTAGAGTGCCAGTAGAGATAGTGACCTAGATAGTGCCAAGGGTAATATCAGTGGGACCCCCAAAGACCTCGGTGGGTGAGAGACGCTGTAAACAATGTGACAGGAAAATGAGGAGAAAAAATAGTTGTTGGGGGGGGGGTGTGATAGATAGATAGAGAGATAGATAGAGGGATAGATAGATGGATAGATAGATAGATAGATAGATGGATAGATAGATAGATAGAGAGAGAGAAGATAGATAGATAGATCACTTTACACATCCATCTACCAATCCCCCACGGTGTAATAACTGATCTATCTATCCATCAATCCATCTATCAACCTAACCAGGGTCCCATGGTGTAATGGTTAGCACTTTGGACTCTGAATCCAACAATCCGAGTTCGAGTCTCGGTGGGACCTGGTGATGTTTTGGCCCTTCACCTGAGTGTTACCTCACTTGCCTTTACCTCACCTAATTTACCTTTACCTCACCTGTCTTAACTCCACTTAATTAACCTAACCTAACTGAATTTAAACTAACTAACCTAATACACCTTCACCTATCGTAACCTAGCCTAAATTAACCTAACCTAACTAACCTAATACACCTTCACCTATCCTAACCTAGCCTAAATTAACCTAACCTAACTGAACTTAATCTTATCTAACGTAAGCTAACTAACCAACATAACCTAACCTAACCAACCTAATCTAACCTAACCAACCTAATCTAACCTAACCTAAACCGATCGTGAGCCTAATGATCTAACATAATTTAACTTAACTAAACCTAACCTAAACAAACATAACCGGTAATCTATTTTAACCATATTCAACCACAACTTTTTTATTTAACCGGTAATCTATTAAAACCACATTCAACCACAATTATTTTATTTAACCGGTTATTATTACAGTGTGGGATGGATCCGAAAGTACTCTGAGACTCGATCTTCACGAAACCTGGTCCTGATACTTGTTGTGATACTCGATGATCCTACCTGAAACTGATCCGAATCCGTTCAAGGGATATAGAATACCATGTGAAAGAGATCCGAATTTGTTCTGAAATTGGATGGTATCAATTGAATCAGGTTCGGGGTCCGTTCTGAGGCTTCATGTTATCTAATGAAATTGGTTCAAATTCGTCTCGGTATCTTGTTAATATTTTATGAAACGAACCCTAAATCATGAACCCAGATGAGGTATTATGAACCAGTTTCGAACCCATTTGAACCCCAACGATGTATTTGAAGTAGGTTCGAACGTATATTAAGGTGTGACGATATATGAAGTAGTTTGAATCACGTTCGAAAATCTGTAATGAATCCTGATCATCAGATTCTTGTGGCGGTTCACTTGAAAGAAATGAATAAACGAAGCAAGTTTCAAAGCCGACAAGAATCACTGTTCGGATCTCATTTGCTTCAGAGAGAGAGAGAGAGAGAGAGAGAGAGAGAGAGAGAGAGAGAGAGAGAGAGAGAGAGAGAGAGAGGAAACTTACGAATTTTCATGTCAGGATTCGACAGCGTCAGAGGCTTGTAATTTAAGTGTTTACAAAATATGTGTGTGTGTGTGTGTGTGTGTATCTTGGCAACCAAGCGTGACGACCTTGGCTTGCATATTTGTGTCACAGCTACAGTTCATTTCATTAAATACAGATACAGTTACAAGTACAAGGACGGGTACAGTTTCAAGTACAGATACAGGTACATCTATACAGTCACAGGTACAGCCACAAATACAGGTACAGTTACAATCACAGGTACACAGGTAAAGGTAAAATTTAAATTGCAGATAAAAGAATAGAACTCAATGCTCCCGAGATGAGATGATGTATACGTGTATGTGACATGTTTTGCGCCTCTTGTTGACATCATCTGTGTGATAGTTCAAGGTCTTTCGTGACGTCATAGCTGCCACACGTTGTTAGGTGAGGTAAGACGTGTTATTGTGGGTATAATATATGTATACTAAATACTTAATCCATGTTCAAGATAGAAAAAATGATAAGTTTGGTTAAGTTAAGTTTGGGTAGGTTAGGTTAGGTTAGGTTAAGTTTGGGTAGGTTAGGTGGGTAGGTTTAGGTTAAGTTGGGTTAAATTAGGGTTGGGTCAAAATAATATAGTTCCCAAAATAATTCCTTACCCTCATCTCTCTCTCTCTCTCCCCTTCTTACTTCTTACCACCCACCCCTCACTCCTTACCACTCTCCCCTCACTCCTCACCTCTCACCCCTCACCTCACCCTCACTCCTCACCACCTCCCCACCTCACTTCACTCACCACCACCCTCACCACTCCCCCTCACCTCACCACCTCCCCCCACCCACCACCCACCCCTCACCTCACCACCTCACCTCTCACCTCACCTCACCTCACCTCACCTCCCTCACCTCACTTCACCTCACCACCACCTCACCTCTCACACCTCACCCCTCACCTCACCACCTCCTCACCACCCTCACCCTCCCCCCTCCACCCTCACCCCTCACCACCCACCCTCACCTCACCTCCCCCCTCCCCACCTCACCCTCACTCACCCTCCACCTCACCTCACTCCTCACCTTCTGACTCCCTCACAACACCTCACCGTCACCTTAGCCAGTGTTCTCTTCACTACATCACGGCCTTTAAGGAACGAAAAGTTGTTAATCTCTTGACCACGTGACCTCCTGCTCAACATCCTCCACCTCCACCTCTTCCTCAACCTCCTCCTCAAC